GAATTAATCATTAGTATTTAATGCAGATGTTATGATAAATGCTCTTCATTATTTTATAAAATTTAAAATAGGCCCAATTACTATTTATCTATTCAAACATTACTGATTAATGACTTTGATTTTTCTTAAGTCATTAAATGTTGTTGGTTGGCTATTTCCAACAAAAGCAGAGGTAATTGGATTACCATGCAGCAGGCTAAGCTTAAATCTAAGGTGGTGATGGAAAGGCTTCCAAGCCCAAAGCTTGAAAGCTTGAAAGCAAGTTCCAGTGTTCAAGAACTTTCCAACATTCTGCATGTACCCTCTATGTTACTGGCAAATCCCATGGCCACAGGAGGACAGAAAGGATGCAGAAATAGGCTCCACTTCTTCATAAAAGAAACTGAAAAGTCACCCTGCAAAGCAACATGTATATAGGAATGGGAATAATCTGTAAATTTTTTTTTCAATTTACCGCACCACAACTTTCCTTCCTTCCAGTCCCCTTAAACATGGACTTACATTTAGAATATGTTTGTATATTTAGAATATGTCCACTGTATGCTACCCAAAGTTGAGACTTTGGGATGAACAGAATTCTGCTGAATGAGATAAGCATCCTCATTTGTGAGTCAGTGCAGGCTAAAAAAGAGAAAATTATTCATTACCTGAATGGGTGACACAATCAATTTAAAACCCATTTGGATTACATTTGGATCTCATGTACAGTGGCCCTGAAGCACAAAACTAGATTTAGTTTCTAAATGTAGGCTTCAGTAAGTGGGAGGAAATGATGTCTGAGCTGAAACCTAAAGTATGCAGAGGATCTAGTCAGGAAAAGACAGGGAAAAAAAACATTTCAAGCAGATGGAAATATGACAGAAAACCAGTTTTGTGAATCTATTTTTGGGTCACTTTAAATACTGGAGCTACTCAGTACTTATCACACCATAGCATTTACTTACTTTTTGACATAGGATCTTAAGATTTATCATGACAGAATCTGTGGATCTGTAGTCAATGCCCAGTAATTTTTATAATGAGTGAATGACATATTTAATGAGTAGGTGAGTGAAAAATGAGAAATAGGAGAGTGAAAGACCCAGATACAGAATGGAGATCCACTGCAGAAGGAAGGTGGATATTGAGGAGATTGTCACACAGAGAGAGGGAGGTAAGACAGTTGGGAGAAACACTAGGGGAAGAGCAGAATGAAAGACAAAAGAAGGGTTGCTTAGCTATTGCATGGGGACTTAGCACTCCTTTACAATACTAATTAGTCCTTTAGCAGTCCAAATACAGGCCCTTCTGCACTATTAAACTGCTTTTATTTTCAAACTTCAAAGTTTATTTTTATTTTTGAAGGCCTTTTTTTCCTAAAGAAATTTTGAAGACCATATGTAAGCATAAAATAATAAGATTTTAGCACTTTGTTCAGATCATTAAAAACACCCAATTTACACCTAAAAGTTCTGAAGATCTTTTGTTTCAAAATATATGTCCAATAGTCTTTTTGCTTTGAAAGGCAAAAGCTTGCATCAAATATTGTTAGAAAAAAGAATTGCACTTGAAACCAGTAGCTATTTTTATTGTTCCATGCCATTTGATTTCGTTTTGATCAAAACCGGTTATGGGATTTTGAAGTCCTAATAGGACTGTTGTGGATAGGAACAGCTCACATCTTAGTCCTTCGCTCATTCTCAGTTTAGAAATTCTTTCTCTGAGTACAGGGTAACTGTTATGCTCAGGACCCCAGCATGTGACTGGCTAAAGGCAGTAGACCAAGATATACACTAGACAGATATCTGTAAAATTTGATGCAAGACATCAGAATCATTGAATTTACTTGTTATAAATTCATCCTCCAGTCTTCCACTAGCTGGGATCAGAATCCTTCCATTAGATTTTTGGGTCCGGGGAAGAGACAATTCTACCTTAAGGCCTAAGTGTGTCCACCCTTGCTTTTAGCATATAGATGACAGCTTCTAGGGTTGTTCTTGCTACTTCTTTTTTGAAATTGCAAAATAACCATTTATGGTTGTCTGTCATACTGATAGGGCACAAAGTTCAAAGACTAATGAACTCTTTGTAGACTAATTACATCAAACTAATTAACTTACTTACCACCTCAAATATCATATTTTTATGGTGATAACATTTAAAATTTAATCTTAGAAAATTTTAAATACATAGCAAGAGTTGATGCTACTGGAAAAACAGAATTAAGAGATAAGCTTGCTATGGAGCAAATGTTTTTTAAAAATATTTTTTAATTTACCTGAAAAGCAGAGTTTACAGAAAGAATGAAGGACAGAGAGAGAATCTTCCAACTGTTGGTTCACTGCCCAAATGGCTGCAAAGGTAGGAGCTGGGTTAGTCAAAAGCTGACAGCCAGGAGCTTCTAAGTCTCCCATGTAGGAACAGGGACCCAAGCACTTGAATCATTTCACTGCTTTCCCTAGCACATCAGCAGTGAGCAGGATTGGAAGTTGAACAGCCAGGGCATGAGCTATCTTCCATAGGGGATGACTGCATTATAGGCAGTGGTTTTATGCATTATAATACAACACCAGCTCCAGGTACAAAATATTTGAATCTATGCTTAATTTTTTAATAATATATTTGCATGGCATTCAAAACCATTTTGAGATGTAGAAAGAGAGAAGATGAAAAAGAGAGAGAGAAAAAAAACACTTCTGTCTGCTGATTCAGTACTCAACTGTCTTTCACAGGGCTAGGCTGGTCAAAGCTGGAAGGCAGGAACTCAATCTAGGCGATGGCAGAAACCTAACTACTTGACTCATCAGATATTTCCCTCATCATCCCCACTCCCACACACGCAGTATCTGCATTAATAGGCAACTGAGGCAGGGGCTAAGAGTCAAGCAATGGGGCTGGCACAGTAGCCTAGCGGCTAAAGTCCTTGCTTTGAATGCGCCACGATCCCATATGGGCACTGGTTCACATCCTGGCGGCCGCCTCTTCCCATCCAGCTCCCTGCTTATGGCCTGGGAAAGCAGTCAAGGACGGTCCAAAGCCTTGGGACCCTTCACCTCCATAGAAAACCCGGAAGAAGCTCCTGGATTCTGGATTAGGACGCTCAGCACCGGTCGTTGCAACCACTTGGGGAGAAAATCATCAGTGGGAAGATCTTCCTCATGTCTCTCCTCCTCAGTAAAAACGAATAAATCTTTAAAAAAAAAAAAAAAAAAGGTCTGGCGTGGTGGCCTAGCAGCTAAGCTAAAATCCTTGCCTTGTAAGTGCCAGGATCCAATATGGATGCTGGTTCTAATCCTGGCAGCCCCGCTACCCATACAACTCCCTGCTTGTGGCCTGGAAAAGCCGTAGAAGATGGTAGAAGATGGCCCCAAGCTTTGGGTTCCTGCACCCACGTGGAAGACCTGGTTGCCTTGGAATCATGCACCGTGTGGGAGGCCTGGAGGAAGTTCCTGGCTCCTGGCTTCAAATTGATGCAACTTCGACTGCTGTGGTCACAAGATCTTCCTCTCTATCTCTCCTCCTCTCTATTTATCTGACTTTCCAATAAAAATAAGTAAATCTTAAAAAAAAAAAAAAGAGTCAAGCAGTGAATGAAAGAGCGTTGTTATGGAATTTTAACCAATATCTTTTTTCCTGCTGTTCTGTGCCAATAACCTATGAACAGAAGCCAGGCAATAGTTTGGGACCACAGAGTTCTGTTTTGGAGCACTACGAGAGACTCAGGGCAATGGAAACATCCTAAATCCAAACTCATGTTGTTTTTTTTTTTTTTTTAAAGTATTCATCTATATATTTGAAAGGTAGAGTTACAGAGAGAGAGAATGGAATATTCAGTCAGCTGGTTTACTCCCCAGATGGGTGCCGTGGGCCCCAGCTGGGCCAAGGCCAGGAAGCTAGCGCTCTATGCAAATCTCCCAAGTGAGTAGTAGGAACCCAAGCACTCAGACCATCTGCTGCTTTCCCAGGTGCATTGGCAGGGAACTTGAATCAGCGATATACCTGCTGAGCTAAGCACTTGCCTCTCCATCAGCTTTTTGAAAATCTTACATATGAATGGATCTAAAAAAATGCTTATACAATGTTTACAAAAAAGTTTACATTTCACAATATAAACTTATCTTTTAGTTACATTTTCCTTCCATGTTTTCGAAATACCCATATACAACATACTATTAACTGTACTCCCCATTCTGTTCAATACATTAAAAAAAATCATTTATTCCTGCTTCTGAAATTTTGTACCATTTGACCATCATGTCCAAAATCTTTACCCCAATACTTTATTCTCAATTTTCATGAGTCATATTATTTTAGATTCCACAGTTAAGTAAGTATATTTAAATAAGATAAGTATATGATTTTTGACTTTTCATGCCTGACTTATTTTACTTAGCATAATGTTTTCTAGTTCATGTTGTTACAAATGACAGAATTTCTTTCTTCTTAAAATTGTGGATAACATTCCATTGTATATATACATATTTCACATCAGTATCTTTTCATTATTTGTTCATCTGCTGATAGACGTTTAGATTCCGTAGTAATAGATAAATGTGACAGTGCAGATACACTTTCAATACCGTGATTTCAAATCTTTTGGGTAACCACTTAAATTCAATACACTGATTTTCAATATACTAAATTCAAATATTTTGGGCAAAGATAGATTGCTGGATCATATGATGATTCTGTTATTAGTCTTTTAAGAACTCTTTATATAGTTTTCTATAGTGAGCATACTAATTCACATTTCACAGTACTTATTATTAAATGTAGTATTTGTCTGATCAGAATAAGACCTATCGGTATAATAAGACAAATAATAGTAGAAAACAGCTAATGACTAATGTCAAATTCAGTTGCAGGATCAATCTCAATGCAGGGTGGAATCAAGGAAGAATTCAGGGAAAAAGGAGAGGTACAGGGTTTCAATGAGGTTCTGAACTTCTGCACTCTGCCATTTGAACAATCTGAACTTAATTCAAGGGGTTTAACTTATGTTTTACGTCCATATCCTCCAGAGTGTCCAAGATGAAGGAGAAAGTTAAGCAGAAACGAGAAAAAAGAGAACGCATAAGTCTAGTCAAAGCCAAGGTGGCCAACATGCGTAAAGAAGCCCTGCAAGAGCAGTTCAATGAATGGATTCTAGACCCCAAAGGAATGATTCCTTTGGTAGTGGTAAGAATAAGAGCTATGTGGGAAAGGTAAGGGGGTTGGGTGATGAATGGGCAGTTGCCTGAATCTTGACTGAAATGCTAGGAGTCACCATCAGTATTTTGAGTACTGCTGAATTAAGTCAGTTCTTGACCTGGTTGTTCTCAAGATTTGATTCCTTTTATTTGGGGGGTGGCATCAAAAGTAAAATCTAGCTATATTTCTAAAATCTGGTTCTGGCAGTGTTTCCAAACACAAGGCTACTAAGAGACACAAATTTTATTTGCTTGTTGTGTATTTGACCTTTCCTGTGAGACCTAAGAGACAAAGTCTCTTGCTACAGGGAGCAATCATACTCTAAAAGTTAAATATTTACTTTTGAGTGTGTGCAGATTTGAAAATAATTATTGATTTGATGTTGTACCAAGCATACTTTAATGAGAATAATAAAAATAGATTAATAAAGACAGCCACAGATTGGGAGAACATATTAGAAAAATACAAAACCAGTAAAAGACAATAGTATACTAGTATACAAGGAACAACTTAGACATCATGATAATAAATCAAACAAATAAAAGATGAGCAAAAGATGTGATTTAGCACTTCACTAAAGAAAATATGTAGATGCCAAATAAGCATATAAAAATATGCCCAACATCATATATCATTAAGGAATTATACATTAAAACAGTAATGAGATACTACTGCTCGACTAGCGAAACAGTGAAAATCCAACACCAGATGCTGCCAAGGAGACTAAGCAGTAAGAATTTTCACCCATTGCTGGTAAGAATGCAAAATTGTTCAGTCACTCTGAAAATGTTGTAGTTCCTTCTAAGACTAACATTTTACTTAAGACAAATACTGGATGATTCTACTTATACTTATGAGGCATCTGGATTAGTCAAATAGAGCACATAGAATGATGGTTACCAGAGGATAGGGGCAAAATAAGAGGAGTTGTTTAAATGGATAGAGGGTTTTAGATTTGCAAGATGGAAAAAATTCTGGGAGATCTGTTTCATACTGATTTGAATATGCTTACACATATATAGTACATTTTTAGATGGATGAGTTGATAACTCTTATTACGTGATTTTTGTTTGTAATTCGCACAACTGAACCAAACCTACTCTAAACACGATCTGATAGTATCTCTCCTTGATATTTAACCAAATGAATTGAAAACTTATGTTCACACATACAAAAAAAACTGCATGCATGTATTTATAGAAGCTTTATTTATAATTGATGAAACTTGGAAGCAAGCAAGATATCCTTCACTAAACAAATGGATATTAAATTATGATGCATTAATGAAATGGAATATTATCAGTGATGAAAAGAAATGAGCTCTCAAGACACTGAAAAACATAGGGAAATTTTTTGTGTAAGTTACCAAGTCACAGAATCTGAAAAGCCAGTCTGAAAGACTACATCCTGTATGATGCCAACTGTGATATTCGGGAAAAGGCAAAACAATGAAGATAGTAAAAAGATCAGAGGTTAACAGGAGTGAGAAAGGAAGAAAGGATCAAGGTAGCAAAGACAATTCTGTTGATTCAGCAATGGTAGATATCTGTCATTATACATTTATCAAAATGTGTAATGCACCACCAAAAATGACATAAACTAGGGACTCTGAAGTGACAATGCTAGTCAGTGCAGATTCACTGTCTGTAATAAACACACCACTGGTGGGGGATCCGGATAGTAGAGAAGGTTATCCTTGTGTAGGGAGAAGGGGTAGTTTCTCCTTAATTTTGCTATGAACCTAAAGTTTCTCCAAAAAAAGTAAGATCTATTTTTAAAAATGGAATAGGAAGAACTGTGGAATTTTATTTTTAGTTATTGAAGAACGAGGAAGTAGGGAGGATTCTTTAAACTGCCAAAGGTGCCTTTGCTCCATTGCACACAGTGTTGGAAGGTTACTAGAAATATTTCTGGAGGGGCAAAATGAGGTCACTCAGCATCTCAGCTCTTCTGTTGGGAAGTTTCAGAAACATTGAGGACACATATGTGAAAGCACTTTATATACTTTGAAATAATTCTGTACAACTAAGTTTGAAATGTTATTATTTCTGTCCTAAGTTCATAAAGACCATTCAGCACTTAAATAGAAAGACAATATATGAATTTTTTAAATGATTTATTTATTTTTATTGGAAAGGCAGATATACAGAGAGGAGGAGACACAGAGAGGAAGATCCTCTGTCCGATGGTTCACTCCCTAAGTGGCCACAGTGCTTTGAGCTGAGCCATTCCGAAGCCAGGAGCCTCCGGGTCTCCCACGTGGGTGCAGGGTCCCAAAGCTCTGGGCTGTCCTCTGCTGTTTCCCCAGGCCACAAGCAGGGAGCTAGATGGGAAGTGGAGGCATCAGGATTAGACTGGTGCCCATATGGGATCCTGGTGCATTCAAGGCAAGGACTTATACAAGGCATTCATGCTGGGCCCTGAATTTTAATCTAAAATACTAAATATGTGGTAAATGGAGAGTAACATATCGTTTCTTTTCCCTCCTCCTTTTTTTCTTTCCCCTTTTGTTTTTATTCATAGGTTCAGAATGTTCTTCACGAATTTTTTCAGAAGCCAGAAGTTGAACTTGGTAAGTTGTACCTCTTGTTGTTGTGTTTTAATTTTCCTTCCTTCCTTCTTTTCCTTTCTTTCTCTTTTTCTTTTTTTTTCTTTTTGTTTGTTTGTTTGTTTCTTTCTTTCTTTCTTTCTTTCTTCCTTTCTTTCTCTTTTTCTTTCTTCCCTTCATGCCTGCCTGCCTTCCTTCCTTCCTTCCCTTCTTTAAGGAAAAGCATTGAATTCAGATACAGAGGAAACATTGAGACATATGTTATTCAGTGGTCTAATAGATGAACGTAGTCACTCTCGCTTTTTCCAGGTAGAAAATATAGAAAAGCAGAGGAGCAATCAGTAACCCTCTTTCCTTCAGGCCAATGGTTCATCTTATTACAAATAACCTATAATGCTTCCTTATTATCCCAGAATATATTACACAATTTCAAAAGAAAGACATTATCTTAGCTGTAACTTAAGGCACAAACTCAAGGGAAGACATAAAATTATATGCACTGTATTGCAGTATATGAATGGCTTGGTTACAACTTCACTAGACAACAGTGGAGTCGTTAAACATTTCTACCTACATATAATGAATGTTTAGATATAAGAAAAGCAAAAGCATTTTCAACTGACAGTTTTCAACTGACGGTGTTTCAAAATAAATGCAGAATGAATTAATTTGTATACATGTATATATACATACAGATGCAAAATTATACAAGTATGCTATATTAAAGTTCAAATTCAATCTATGAGATCATCTCTTATTACATAAATATCTGACACAGTAAACAACTTGAACTCTTGGTGAAGTTTCTTCCTCAAATTTTCATGGTAGTTACATTCTTAAAAATTTTAACAACAAAAATATACTTGGTGCTCATATGTAGAGTTAGATTCTTGATTCAAAAGTATTATAAACAGGTTTTTCATCTACTTAAATGTCTAGCAGGAGGAGGGAGCCTAGGATTGTACAAGAACCACAGGAATTCTGCCTCTACACCCACTCCACATTACTGCAGCAACAGAACTCACCCACAGATTTCCACCGTGCTCTGTAGGGGGAAGGAGGATAGCACCACCCCCAAGGAGAACCACAGAGCTTGCTGCTTTGATTTTCAAAGATTTCCTTGTATGAAATTAGGCAAGAAAATCTGACTTTTCATTTAAGATGCTAGAGTTTTAGGCACTGAGACTTGCATATCTGATATCCAATTGACTTTCTCTAATTGATTTGTTTGACCATTTGTGCTCCATGAATAGCAATGGATTATTTGAGATCTATTCTCATTTTTCAATGAGATTCTCCCCATCCTCCTGATCACTGTTACCCCAAGTTAGCAATTACAAAGTGGAAGAATGACTGTAAACTCTTTTTATGTCCTTGTGATAGCATAGGATAGGCAAGAAGAGTTACTGATAGGAATAAAAGCAGAAGCCAGTACATTGGCTCTTCCATCATGAACTTTAATACAATCTGTGTTTGCTTGGTAGAATCAGTAATGATTACATAATTGCCCTATAGAATGGTAGATTATATATTTTTATTTGGACTACTGCCCCCTTTACCATTATTATTATTATTATTATTATTATTATCAAAATTTTTATGTGAATGGCAGAGTCACACAGAGAGCAGGGGGGAGAGAGAGGGCGAAGGAGAGAAAGGGGGAAAAAGAGAGATCTTCCATTTACTGGCTCACTCCCCAAATGGCTAAAATGGCTGGGGCTGGCTCAGGCAGAAGCCAAGAGCTCATAATTCCAGCATGAATTTCACATTTTTTGCACCAAACTGACCTTATTCTTTTGATTCCACATGTATGTTTTGTTCACAATATCAATGAACTTTCTGAAGAGCCTTTATATGTAATTTATTTTAACTACAGATAGTCATTATAAATAATATCAGGGAGCCCAGCACAATAGCCTAGTGGCTAAATTCTCGCCTTGCATGTGCAGACATCCCATATGGGCATGGTTTGTAGCCCAGCTGCTCCACTTCCCATCTAGCTCCCTGCTTGTGGCCTTGGAAACTACTTAAGGACCACCCAAAGCCTTGGGACCCTGAACCCACATGGGAGACCCAGAAGAAGCTCCTGGCTCCTTGCTTCAGACCAGCTCAGCTCTAGCCATTGCAGACACTTGGGGAGTGAATCAGTGGGCAAAGATCTTTCTCTCTGTCTCTCTTCTCTATATGTCTGACTTTCCAACAAAAATAAATATTTTAAAAATGAAAGAGAAAGAAAGTAAGAAAGAGAGAGAGAAAGAAAGGAAGTAAGGGAGGAAGGAAGGAAGGAAGGAAGGAAGGAAAGAGGAAAGGAAGGAAGGAAGAAAGGAAGGGAGGAAGGAGGAGAAGAAGGAAGTCAGGCTAATGTGGCATGACAGGTAGACCCACTACCCGTGACACCACATCACTTATGGGCACTGCTTCATGTCCCAGCTGTTCCACTTCCAATCCAGCTCAATGCTAATGGCCTGAAAAAGAGGAAGATGTGACAAATGTTTGGGCCCTTGTCACCAACATGGAAGATCTAAATGAAGCTCCTGGTTTCTGATATCAATATGGTCCTACCCTGGCTATTGTGGCCTTCTGAGGAAGAACCAGTAGATGGAAGATATCTCTCTTTCGCTCTCTGAAACTGACTTTCAAATAAGCAAATAAATATTTAAAAAAATAATGTCAAGCTCAGGCATTTCTTATTGTTTTAAGAAACAGTAGGGACAAAACAAAGAAACCAATTATATATTCTTTTAAAAGCACTATAATATAAATATAAAATATAAATGCATTACAATCAAACTAACTAGCAAATAACCTTTATTTCAGAATCATGTTGTCAACAATTGGATATTATTAGCTCAATGGAACCTGGATTGAACAAAATGGAATTTACAGAAGTAAGAAGTTATATAATATTTGGGTCAAACAATAATGCCTGTTTTTTTGCTGCATGTTGTAGATTAAATAGAATTAACAAAATGAAATGAAACATAAAATGTTTTATAAATTGTCAGGTATATTTTGAAATATTTTAACTCGCTGAAATTTATGTTAGATCTTAGAATCAAAGGCATCTTACAATTTCTCTTCATCAATGGCTCCCATGAGGTGAGAGTGTGAAAAACTTCCCACTTCACCTTATGGGAAAATCAAGAAAAATCAATACTTTATACTCAGTGAAATCTGTCTACAGAAATAATAATAATAACATCTAATACTTTCAAAGCATTTCCTATGGGCTAAGCACAGTTCTAAAATACCCATTTATGCTGTTGTACAATCCTTCAGGTACATTGTCCTCTACTTTTCTTTTGTTGTTCATCTTTTACTTTTATAGATGAAAACACTGAGGTACAGAAAGGGTAAAGTACCTGCAGATTGTCTACCAACTTGTGGAACATATGAAATTTGATTCAGATAATTTGATTCCCAAGTCTATATATATTATAACTCTGAGAAAATATGAATCAGTTGTGGTAGAGAGACTGAATACAGCTATTGATACCGGAGTCTGACATCTTTGGTGGCCTGTTTTATAATATTTCACATTTCCTCTATGTCCCTTTGTTTTTCGGTAATGAGTCCCAAAGTACAGATAACATTTTCTTTTTCTTTTCACACACTTATTTCATTGAATGTACAGATTATATACTGTATGCAGTTTTTAGCTTCTGTATGAAGGATTTCTTTTTTGGAATGTTCATTGTACAAATAAGAATTGATATCTCAGTTGTGTTCTGTATTTTTTTTAGATTATCTGTCTGTCTGTCTGTCGTCTGACATCCATCAGGCACATGGCTAAACTAATAGCCAAAGTTGCTTATATGCTCCCTACAGTGCAGAATCCATAATCGGAGTCACCTCCTTTGCTGGTTCTCACACACAAAGCCAGTGTTTCTCCTACACTACATCAGCCCAGACCCAGTTCCAGACAAACGGGGATGGCTCCTATACCTCCACAGTTTGCCAGAGTTACTCAAGCTAGTCAGTCTGTGGCTATTTACCTTGCCTTGTGTTTCCTGGGTGAACCCAGAAAGGATTCTGACTTGGGCATTCCGTTTGCTCTTTCCTGCTTCTGCCTCTTGACCAACATCTGATTATTTTTCTGTGGCTTTTGGGTAATGGATTTCTCTTGGAAATTCTAAGTAACAAAAATGCTGCAGGTCAGGAGTTTACTCTAGCGGGTGAGACGTCAAGTAGAATGTCCCTATCCCCTCATTAATGTGTCTGGATTCTATCCCTGATCCTAGCTCCTGACTCCAGGGTTCTAATAATTCAAAATAAAATTTTTATGCAATATAAAAACTAGGAAGCTAACACTGACACAATGCATGAATGTGCTATGTTGCTTTATCACATGTATAGATTGGTGTAACCACCCCTGAAGCTAAGATACCACAGCACCACTTCATGAGTTCAAGTGAAATGTGGACATCATACCTCCTTTGAAGTCTCTTTAGACTTTTCGATCTATGTGATTCTCTTCAATATTCTTGTGCATATGTCATATGGATAAATTTTGCTTCAATTATTACATTCAAGAATGTGTAAAATGTGAGGAAAAAAAGGCTATTAAATATATTTGTATTTTTTGCTCTGTTCTTTCTTGATGTTTCACAACTCCTTCTTTTATCCATTCTGTCTCAAGGACTTTCTTTATGCATTCTCTTAGAACATGTCTTCAGACAACTAATTCTATGCAGAATAGGTCTTCAAGTGACCAAGACTTTCAGGAAATATTTTCCCCCCTTTATTCTTGAAGGATAATTTCACTGGAAATAGAACTTTGAGTTGGCAGGCTTTGCTTTGAGTGCTTGAAGAGCATGCTTTGTCTGGCCTGCAGGGTTGCTGTTGAGAAATCCACTGTGATTTGAACTGTTTTTCATTAAAAGGCAAGGATGCCGTTTTTCTCTCACTGGTTTGTCTTTACTTTTCTCAAGATTGGTTATGATGTCTCCTGTCATCAGTCCCTGAGTCTGTACTGTTGAGATTTGCTCAGCTTCTTGTAGCTGTAGGCTTATGTTTTGACAAACATGGGAAATATTAAACCATTATTTCTTTGGAGTTTATTTTTTTAGCTCCACTCTTTTTTTCTCTTTCTAGAACTTAGCTGGCACAAAAGTTAAATCTTTGTTGCTTTCCCATTTTCTTGGCATCCTGTGAAAAATAAAAGGTTTTTAATGAAGCCCATTTTTTTTCTTTTATTGCTTTGACTTTTGGTGTCCTATCTGAGAGACCACTATCTCATTCAAGGTCATTGCCCAATTGGATAGATATTCTTTAATTGACTAATTTTTTAAAGATAAATTTATTTTTTATTTGAAAGGCAGCTTTTAATCCACTGGCATGGGCAGGAACTGGGAACAGACAGGGCCGGGCCAGGCTACAGAACCCACTGACATGCTGAGTTGAGGTCAGCCATGCCAGACTGGGCCACAGCACCCATAAGCACACGTGAGATCTGAGGTAGGCGGGGTGTGAGCCCAATAGGAGGGGCTGCAGGGGGTTCCCCTGCTGGGCCACTACTCCCATTGGTGAGTATGAGAACTGGGACCAGGGGCAAACCAGATCGGGCAGGGCTATAATACCTGTTGGCCTGCATGTGAACTGGGTTAGGGGGAGAGCCAGGCTGGACTAACTTGACTGTATCTATTGGTGCAGGCATAGACCAGAATAAGAGCAGGTTGGCTGGACTTTACTCCAGCATTAGCTAGCAAGTGTTGGGACTGGGGGCAAATCCTGTCAAGCTAGACTGCAGAACTGCCTGGAGAGTGCAAGATCCAGAAGTGGGAGTGAGCCCAGTGGGGAAACTGGACACCTCTCTCATGGGCTCCAATTCCCACTGGTGAGCCCTCCCATGGGACTGGGGAGGACCTGGCTACACAGGCAGTGGCACTTGCTAGCATGAGTTTGGGCTGGATAGTGGAGTTGGTTGGGTTGAACCAGGCTCCAATGCCCATTGACATGTACGAGAACTGAATGAGATGTGGGACAGACTGGACCAGTCTGCTGTACATACTAGCAAGCACGGGAACCAGGGCTCGGGGCAAACCTAGTGGGAGTGCTTGGGAGACACTCTGATTAGGCTGCAGTTCCTATTGGTGTACATGAGGACCAAGTATGTAGTTGGCAGGGTTGGGCTGGGCCACAGCACCCATTGGTTTACATAAGAAATAGGACTAGAGACAAAACTAACCCAGCAATTCCAACTACCAGTGTGTGCGTAGGCTGATGTGGGTGATGTATTGGCAAGCACAACCAAGAGTCAGATCTGGAATCACTTCAGATGAGGTTTTTTGAATCGCAGGATGCAGAACTCCAACCATGGGGAGAATTGCAGGATCTACAGTCTGACCATGGAGTACATGTGTCAGAACTCAGTGGCTAAGACAGAACAGTAGACAGCATGCTCAGATGCACATAGAGGACATGGCAGTCCATTGGGGCCTGCAGAGGACATCTGGTACCATAGCAGAGGAAGGAGGGCAGAAAAAATTGGTCAATGACTCCAGCCAAGCACTGACAGAAAATGTCTGGGGAAATGAAGACTCTAAGGAGTACTATGTTAGCAAATGAGATCGGCAAGATTGACAGCATTTCAGAACTATCAAAACCAATTGGGTAGAACTCTTGGAGTATGGCCCGAACCACTGGGACTCTGGGTTGCTATCGGGTGGCCATTCTCCATCCCTGGGTACCAGAGTGGTTGGGAAACTGTATATGGCCTCTCTCCTTATCTTTTGCATTTCCCCCCAAAAAAGGATGACATCTTACACTACTATTCTGCTTTATGGGAGGCAGAAAAGAACTTAACTGTGCTCAAATTTCTACCAAAAAGACTGACGATTAGGTTGTTGAGGCAGGTAGGGAATTCAGTATTCGGAAAAGCTCTTTGGTTCTGCTGTAAATTTTATTCTTTATAAAGTTGTGTGCCAGTTGAATAATAACTTATGAGTCTTTCACATGGATTCAATCCTAGCATATCTCTTACATAATATATTCTAAATTTACCTAGTTGATATTGGTAAGAAAATGAAATGTCAATTTCAGAAATTATGTGTTAATGAAAAAAATTATTATTCTTTAGTAACAGATTATTAAATTGGATTTTTAAGAAATAAAACATGTTGATTACACATAAGTTACAAGCACTAAGAACCAACTTGACCTGGTGTAGCTTAAGATGAAATGCACATAAATTCAAGGACTCCAGGAAGAGAAAAACTTCAAGTGTGTTTCTCTATGCTGTTTCATCTGTCTCTCTGTGGATGAACTCTTAGCATTCATGGCTGGAAGAGGACTATGGCCACCTCATAATTCTCACATTTGCATTTTCAGGGTAGCAGAGTATGTCATACCTGGCACTAAAATTACTTTAAAGGCCCCTGAGAAACAGCAAATGCAGAAAAAGTATTGTAGTCTTTCTTTCCTTCCTCAAAATAGGATACTAAATTGCCATGTGAAAGATATCCTCTCTGTACCAGGAAACAGCAAGCATTCTACACCTGGGATTCTTGGCCCGGAGAATTCTGTACAAACAGACCTTGTTTTTTAAAAATCTTATCTTCCTTAAGCTTCTGCATAATTTAGTTACTTTCCCACAATTGTCTCTCTTTCTTCAAAAGGCATGTTTTACCACTTTAGGTCTTCATTTCTTTCATTTATTTTTTTAATCCCCTGGAAAGACCCAGAGCAAAGTTAATATTTTTGTCTTTTTTTTTAATTTACATTTTTAATATAAAGAGAATAGATTTACTGTAATTCATAGAGTTCTAAGAATATAGTGTCTCTTTATTCCTACCTTCTTAATGCTTTTCTTTCCTTTATTCCATTTTGTATTAGCTTTGGAGATAACATATTTTTAATTTACTTTATAGCCCAAGGTTTAAGCTCTAGTTACATTAAAAAATCAAACAACTAAAAAGAAAAAGAACAGTATTCAACAGAAATGTAGATAATGGCTATGAACAATAATCAATTGAGATGGCATCAGTTTCACCTGTGATCAGTATATTTTTGTACTCTATAAACTACAACAAATCATAGAAAATGTGATATTTACATTTTGGGGGTTTGGCTTATTTAACTAAGCGCAATAATCTTTGTTTGTGAGCATGAGAACCAGGACTGGGGGCAGGGCTAGCTGGACAAGCAGTGGCACCTGCCAGCAAGAGTGTGGTCTGGCCAGCAGGATAGGTTGGGCTGAGCTAGGCTCCAACACCCATTGATGTGTACAAAAGCCAAATGGAATGCAGGGCACTGGACCAGTCTTGCTGCACAATCTGGCATGTGCAGAACTGGGGCTGGGGGCAGACCTGTTAGGGATTATTGGGGGTCTCTCTGACTAGGTTACAGTTCCTGCTGGTGTGTGTGAGGGCCAAGTAGGTGATGGATAGAGTTTAGCTGTGCTGCAGCATCCATTGGTTTACATATGAGATGAGGCTGGAGACAGAACTAACTAGGTGACTACCACCACCACTATGTGTGTAGATTGATGTGGACAATGGACTGAGCTGGATCTCGCATGGACTGGCATACACAGGAGTCAGGTTGGGGGTCACCTCTGGTGAGATTTCTTTGGGGACCCTCCAACTGGATCACTGGTCTCAGAATTCTAACCATGGGGAGAATCACAGGATCATGGAGTGCATGTGTCAGAACCTAAGGCCTGTGCAGTGCATGATATACCCAGATGCTCATGAAACATGACAAACACTTCTTTGGGGTCAGCAGAATACATATAGTACCATGGAAGGCAGAACAAATTGGACAACTCTCCCAATCAAGCTTTGACAGCAAGTATCTGGGCAAAACAGGACACTAAGTGGACTATGTCAGCAAATGGGTCTTGGAAAGATTTCCTCAACCTTGGAGCAATGACACCAGCAACATCTCAGAATTATCGAAACCACTTAAGCAGTACCCTCAGAACATGCTCCACAACTAGGACCTGGGATGACATCTGGTGGCCATCACCCATTCCCAGGTACTGATGCAGTTGGAGCGCTAGGAGCGGCCCTCTCACCTTTCTCTCCACTTTCCCCAGACACAGGAAGAAAAAAGGAGATTGGAGGCATAGCATCAACCGTTGCGCTCACTTGGGGAACGAATCATCGGACGGAAGATCTTCCTCTCTGTCTCTCCTCTGTGTATATCCACCTTTCTAATAAAAAATAAAATAAACCTTTAAAAAAATATATAAGGGGTCTGCATTGGTCACATCTCTCTACAGCACAGCCTATAGAGCAGTACCAGCATGAAAATACTTAAAATACTAAGCAGATGATGTAGAAACATTTTGTAGACCATTTAATGCATGCACCTGGCCTGAATTATTGGGAAAATGCAAAATAAAGTACACAGTTTTAAGTTAATTATTTATCATCTTTTCTTTTTTTTTTTCTATAGTACATCTCCTCACACATTGCAGACTTTAAAAGTGAAATGTTTGAAGAACTCCTTAAACACCTTTGCCACTGTGCAGATGAATTCAGAGAGGTCATAAAAGCCGACATGCGGAGACAGATATTTGCAGAACTCTTCCTTTACTGCGATCGAGGGAAGGTAGGTCAAGACTCTTGGAGCATTGCTCTCATAAAATGTGTTGTAATGAATCACTGCTGCACTGACTCTCAAAGAGAATGGATTTCAGCAGGTGGAGAAATGACATACAAAATAGAATCCACCTTTTTAGTTAAATTCAGCAGCACCTACTGTCATGTGCTTTCTCAAGCTACTGTAAAAAACAAATGGCAAACTCAATCATAGTGATACTAGTTTACTCCTACAATAGCCAGGGCTGGTCCATGCTAAAGCCAGAAGACTTCGCTAGAAACTAGAAACTTGACTAGAGCTAGAAACTTCACTCAGCTCTCCCACCTGGATGTTAGGGCCCCAAACACTTGAATCATCTTATGTTTCACCAGGCACATTAACAAGGAGTTGAAAAGTGGAGAAGCTGGGACTTGAACTAGTGACCATATGTGATACTGGCTGCTGCCCCTGCAGGTGGCAGCTTATCCTGCCATACCCCAGAGCTGGCCTCTGGAGTCTTTAAAAATAAAGAAGCAGGGGTCATTGCAATAACTTGCTGTAATCACATTTGCTTGGTTTTAGTTTTATTGTCTGTGCATTTGGGGCCTTTTTCAAGAAGTCTTTGCCTATGTCAGTATCTTACAGAGTTTCTCTGATGTTTTTCTCCAGTAATGTTAGAGTATGAGGTTGTAGAACTAAATCCTTGATCCATTCAAGCTAATTTTTGTATCAGATGTAGAGGTCTTGTTTCATATTTCCACATGTGTAGATTTAGTTTTGGTAGCATGTTTTATTGGAGACTATTTTCTCCAGACATAGCTTTTAGCTTGTTGGTCAAAAATTAGTTGGTCGTAGATGTGTGGATTCATTTCTGGGATTTCTATTCTGTTCCATTGGTCTTCAGGTCTATTTTTGTCACAGTACCAGGCTGTTTTGTTTATAACTGCCATTTAGTATGTCTTGAAATCTGTTGTGATGCCTCCAACTTTGTGTTGTTTAATATTGCTTTAACTCTTCAGGGTCTCTTGTGTTTCCATATGAATTTTAGTATTTTTTTCTAGTTCTGAGAAGACTATCTTTGGTATTTGGATCAGAATCTCACTGAGTCTGCGTTTATATACACAAAGGCTATAGATTGTTGTGTGTTGATTTTATGTGCTACAAATTTACTGAAGTCTCTTATGAGTTCTAATAGTCTGTGATGAATCATTTGATTCCCCAATATATAGAATCATGTAATCACTTGATTTCTTTTTCGTTTCTGATGGCTCTGGCTAAAACTTTCATAACTGTATTGAATATCAATGGTGAAAATGGACATCCTTGTCTGGTTCTAGATCTTAGTAGTAATGTTTCCAACTTTTCCCCATTCAATATGATGCTGGCTCTGGGTTTACATATATTGCCTTGATTGTGTTGTGGAATGTTTCATTTGCCAATTTTCTTGAGGTTTTTATCACGAAAAGAGTTGTATTTTATCAAATGCTTTCTCTGTATCTATTAAGATAATCATATTATAATATCCAGTAATTTCATTTAGTTAGAGAAATGTTGCAGATATATATGATGTATATAAGGATGTCCAATGTAGCATTATTTTGAGATCACAATGCCACACAGAGTATAAATGTCCATCACTGGAGCAATGTAAAATAGATTATGGGAACTGATATTACAGCACACTGAGCTGAGTAGCTTATGGTGCCAGCATCCCATATTAGATGGCTAGTTTGTGTTCTGGTTGTTGTTTCTGATCCAGCTTCCTGCTAATGTGCCTTGGGAAAGCAGCAGCAGAAGTCCAAAACGTTAGGGTCCCTGCCATCCATGTGGGAAACCTGCATAGAATTTCAGTCTCCTGACTTCGCCCTGGCCCAACTCAGGCTATGGTAGCCATCTGGGGAATAAATGAGGGGGATGGAAGGTTCTCTCCTTCCCTCCCTCCCTTTATTCTACCCCCATCTTCTTCTCTTTCCTTCTCTGTCACTTTTTAAAAAGTATATATAGGGCCCGGCACGGTGGCGCAAGTGGTTAAGGTCCTCGCCTTGCACGCCCGGGATCCCATATGGGCGCCGGTTCTAATCCCAGCAGCCCCGCTTCCCTTCCAGCTCCCTGCCTGTGGCCCGGGAAAGCAGTCGAGGACGGCCCAAAGCTTTGGGACCCTGCACCCACGTGGGAGACCCGGAAGAGGCTCCTGGCTTTGGATCGGCATGGCATCGGCCGTTGCGCTCACTTGGGGAGTGAATCATCGGATGGAAGATCTTCCTCTCTGTCTCTCCTCTCTGTATATCCGCCTTTCCAATGAAAAAATAATAAAAATAAATCTTTAAAAAAAAGTATATATAGATATATATATAATATAAAAGTATTTATAATATAAAGTTTATATAATATAAAAGTATATATTACATAAAGTATATGTATTATATAAAGTGTATGTATTACATAAAGTATATATTATAGAAAAAATATATATATTAGGAAGGGCAGATTTAAAAGAGAGAGAAGGAGAGACAGAGAGGATCTTCCATCTGCTGGTTCACTCCCCAAATGGCCACAATGACCAGAGCTGAGTCAATCTGAAGCCAGGAGCCTCTTATGGGTCTCCCATGTAGATGCCGGGTCCCAAGGTTTTGGGCCATCCTCCACTGCTTTCCCAGGCCACAAACAGGGAGCTGGATGGGAAGTGGAGCAGCCAGGACACAAACTGGCACCCATATGGAATCCCAGTGCTTTCAAGGGAGAGGTTTAGCCAGTTGAGCTGCTGCACCAGGCCCTCTGTTACTATTTAAAATAAATATATATTTTAATGTAATGTGTTTATATTATTTAGTAGCATATAACAGGTTAAAAGAATAAAAGCTTTCTTATGCCTGAAGCTCAATGTTGATTAAATAAAAGCAATTTTATGAGTGAATCATCAGTTATTTTTTAAAGTATATACACAAATGTTAATAGTCATTTCTGAGTATTAGGAACATATATTTGAGTTTTATCATTTTTTGCTTTCTCTGTAATTAAATTTTTCCTCATAATAGTTCAAAAAATTATTTGGAGCTGGTGCATACATAGTAGGTTACACCTCTGGTGCCAGCATCCCATGTGGGCACCAGTTTGTGTCCCAGCTGCTCCACTTCTGATCTGCCTCCCTGTTTATGGCATGAGAAGGCAGTGGAAAATGGCCCAAGTGCTTGGGACCCTACAGCCATGTGGCAGATCCAGAAGAAGTTCTTGACTCCTGGCTCTGGATTGGCTCAGCTCCAGCAGTTGTAGGCATTTGGGAAGTGACCCACCAGATGGAAGATCTTTGTCTCTGTCTCTCCTCTCTGTAAATCTGCCTTTCAAATAACAATAAATAAATCTTTAAAAATAAAGTTAGAAAGGATACTTTAAAATCAGTGTAAAAAAAAAAGGTTTAAAAAATAATTCAGAAAAGAATTGTTTCAGGTGACAGGTCAGGTTAGATAAGAATTGGACATTGTACATTTAGTTTAGCAACGAATAAATCAATAACAACAAATATTTAGTAAACATCTATGTTTAAGGCATTTTGACATGAGACAGAATGAAGTATAAGCCTAAAGACAAGAGGACCACTTTTCTAATTTCTTCTATATAAAAGTCATAAAAGTCCCCTGCAATAACTAATTACAGATTGTTTGCTTAGGTAGGAATTTTGGATCGGCAGAGAACACTGACCTTGCTGGAAATGTTCTATGACCAAAGTCCACGGATGCTTAGGAGTTTACTCCGAAACCCAAGACAATGTAAGTGCCACTCAGAGTATGTCCAAATTGGAGTGACAGAGTACACTGATGGGGTAATGCAAAATCATTCTACTGCCAAGGAATCCTTCCATCTATCATCTCCCTTACAGCGTGATGTCTGTAGCTGTTAGCTAGTTATTCATTTCCCACAAAATCACTGTTTGTCAAAACTAGATCCATTTTTCACTGAAGTACAGTACTCAAAATTGTCGTATCAGAGCTCAGTTTTAAAATCATTTGAGTGGAAGCGCTTTGATAATAATCAGTATGTTTTGAAACTTTTGCTTTTGTTTTGATTTTATAACTAAAAAAAATATTTACAGATATAAGAATTGTATATTACATTAGAGATATAAGAAATGTACATTACATTACCATTATCTCAAGTCACCCTACTGTGCAAGAACCCCAGACTTCTTACTCTTACCCAGCTATATAGCCAAGTACACATTAATCAACTTTCCCTCAACTCTCCCCCACCAAGTCCTTCCCCAGTCTCTGGTGCCCAGCATTGTACAAGATCAGTTATTTTTTTTGTTTTCAGAATCCACATGTGAAGTCATGCAATGTTTCTTTCTGGAAATTAACTTGGTAATGGTAATTCCACTCTCAATGCCAACCTAGAATATTAAGATATATAAGAAAATTATTTCCTTCTTAAAAAAAAAAGATGTATTACTTTTTATTGGAAAGTCAGATTTATAGAGAGAAGGAGAGACAGAGAGAAAGATCTTCTGTCCATTGGTTCACTCCCAAAGTGGCCACAATGGCCAGAACTGAGCAGATCTGAAGCCAGAAGCTTCCTCTGGGTCTCCCATGCAGGTGCAGGGTCCCAAAGACTTTGGTCCATCCTCTACTGCTTTCCCAGGCCACAAGCAGGGAGCTGGTTGGGAAGCAGAACAGTCAGGATACAAACTGATGCCCATATGGGATCCCAGGCTTATAAGGTGGGGATTTAGCAACTTAGAAAACCTTAATACTGAGAAACAACCAACATGGATAACAGATGGGCAAAGGATCTCAAAAAATACAGATGGCCATCGGGGAAATGCAAATCAAACCCAGAACGAGATATCAGCTTGCTCCCATCTAAATGGCTAAAATCCAAAACACAGACAGAGTCAAATACTGGTGAGAAAATGGAGAAAGTCTTTGTAACTCTGTCAAGTCAAGTAAATAAATCTCTGGGCAGAAAAAGAATGTTATACTATTATGGTTATAGTAATTTGTGATGATCTCAAAATTTACTGTATGTGGGTAAAATGTTCATATTTTCATTCAATTATTGTATATAGCCATTGTCTATATTTCCACTAAAACAAGGGTCTTTTTGTTTTTTACTTGTTATACTTCTTTTCCGGTGAGATGTTAAGCCTGTTTACTGTAATGTAAATTTTAAATTATGTAACTGAAAAAGAAAGAAAAAGAAAGGTGGTGGGGAGGGAGGAAGGAAGAGAATATCATTATATTCTTAGAATTATATCTACAAACTATACTGAATTTGTTAATAATAATAATAAGTTTTAAATCTTTTTATAAAAAGAACTGGGATGCAAGCTCAGGGACTCGGATCTGGGATGAAGGCATCCCAAGCAGCAACCTCAGGATTAGTGTGCCAGAGGCCCGCTCCTGTTGTTGCTTTTTTAAGAGTGGGATTCTGGTGAATCCTATCTTGTATTTCCTTAGAATTCTGAAGCAGCTGTCTGCACAAGTTTAAGAGGAAAGTAGTTAAGTAATGAATAAGAAAGAGAGGGAAAGAGAAATAGAAAAAAAGTGAGCCTTTTAAAAACAACATGAATTGAAGATTGTCATGGGTCTTGATTTGGTCTTACTTTTATACTGAAAAGACATTGGAAATGTAAGGTGTGTCCTTTCCCCCACTCCTGTGCTCAGTTCATTGTGAGAGAAACAAAGGTGGAAAAATAAATTCTATTTGTCTTGGCCATGTAAGCCAAGGCATAGAGAAAGAAACACGTTCATTTGAAAAGCCATGCCTTTAGAGAAGAATGAGCTCTAATCACTGAAAAGTAGTTTTTATACTCCTTTAATAGCTCTGATTCTGTATTTTATCATCATTTGCTTGGGTAAATGTTCTGCTTTCTGTTTTAGGGCCATTCATTGAATTTGAAGAGATAGTCCTGCCTGAGTTCTGGGGAGACATGGATAATCAGAAGCACATTTATGAAGATTTCGACAAAGTGCTCTTAGAGATGAATGCATCACTTTCTGAAAGAAATGACAGCAAAAGCCAAAGTAAATTGTTAGAAAATTCAGAAGAGAAGCATACGCCCAATGAACAGGTAGAATCAGCCCCGTCGTCCAACCCACCAGAACAGCAGAAAGGAACAACTGCTGAAGAAGGATCACATAGAATCTCAACTGAAGAACAAAGCAGAGATCCAACTACAGAACCAGAACTGTACGGGGAATCAGCAACAGAAGAAGGAATCTATTCAGCGTCAACTCCAGAAAAAGGATCAAGCATAGAGTTAATAGAACAAGACCCACACAGAGAGTCTAATATAGAACAAGAACTACACAAAGGGTCAATAGCAGGACAAACACCAGACAGACCCTTGGCTGCAGAGCAAGGATCACACAGAGGTTCCTCAGTAGAACTAGAACCAGATAAAGTGTCAGTTGAAGAACCAGGGTACCACGGAGAGTCAGTGGTAGAACCAGAGCCACACAGAGGATCAAGTCCAGAACCAGGGTCCCAGAGAGAGTCCATTGGAGAACAAGCACAGTTAAGAATGCCAACAACAGAACCAGGATCCCGCAGAGCATCAGCTGTAGAACCAGGATCCCGCAGAGCATCAGCTGTAGAACCAGGATCCCGCAGAGCATCAATTGCAACAGCAGGGTCCCGGAGAAAGTCAACTGCAGAATCAGAGTCCCAAATAGAATCAATATCAGGGCAAGTTCAACATGAAGGGTCGACAGAGGAACAAGGATCACAAAGAGAAGCGCTTTCGGAACCTGAACTACACGCAGAATCAGTAATACAAGGATCACACAAAGAATCAGAGGAAGGACCCTTCAGAGAAGCAACTCCAGAAGAACAACAGGACATAAACCCAACTTCACAACCAAGAAAAGGAACTAACATAAAAGAAAGTACAAAATCTAAGGCAACCATTCCATCTGTGCGCATTGAAATCCCTTTACAGGAAAAGCGTTCTTTGGAGCAATCATATGAAAACTACATACCTGTGAGGTCTGAAATGCAAGAACAAGTTCCAACATCAAGTAGAAAAGATCCTATTTCAGGTAGCCATGCAGGTCTCTTGCAATATCAGTTCCTGTTTTGTGCTGTGGTTTTAGAATCTTTTCAGAAATGCTCACTTAAATTAAAATCTTGTCTAGCCTATAGGATCATGTCTACCTTAGACACATGTTGCTATTCAACACGAGTCTAGCTTGAACAATTAATTAAATCCGAACCAATGTCTCCATGTCAACTTACCTAGAAATCCTTTTGTATTAAATTCCATTTGCAAGGAAAAGATATAGTAATGCTGCATATAGAAGTAGTTTTTATTTTATTTTTACTTGAAAGATGGAGTTACAGAGAGGAGAGAGAGAAATCTTCCATCTGTGGGTTCACACCCTAAATGGCCACAATGGACAGAGCTGAGTTGATCTGAAATCATGAATCAAGATCTTCTCCTGGCTCTCCCATGTGGGTACAGGAGCCCAAAGAATTGAGCTGTCCTCAGCTACCTTCCCAGGTCATAACCAGGAAGCTGACTTAGAAGTGAAGAAGCCAGAATGCAAACCAGCATATGTATGGGATGCTGCCACTTGCAGGCAAAGCAAAAGTCTGTTAAGCCACCATGTTGGCCTTACAAAAGTGTTGTGATAGGATATCTGAAATGACAGAAGAACCCCTTTTGTTTTAAGTATCTGGTTTTTAAAAAGATTTATTTATTTTTATTGCAATGTCAGATATATACAGAAAGGAGGAGAGACAGAAAGATCTTTCATCCAATGATTCACTCCCCAAGTGACTGCAATGGCCGGTGCTACACCGATCTGAAGCCAGGAGCCCAGAGCCTCTTCCAGGTCTCCCACGCAGGTGAGGGTCCCAAGGCTTTGGGCCGTCCTCGACTGCTTTCCCAGGCCACAAGCAGGGAGTTGGATGGGAAGCAGGGCAGCCATGATTAGAATTGGCACCCATAAGGGATCCTGGCGCGTTCAAGGCGAGGACTTCAGCTGCTTAAGCCACTGTGCCAGACCCTAATTGTCTGATCTTAGAAAGCACATCTTAAAATTCTATTTCAACTTTAAAACTGATCTTGGCTTTTCTGTTATAACTATATTCTAGGAGAATCTCTGAAAGACATACTTAACACAGAAAGCATCTTGCATTTAAAACATTTACTTATAGATCATTGGTCAAAGTTTAGGCATACCTAAATTTGTATCTAACTAAAAAGGAGAAGGGGAAATTTATCCCTCATTTTGCATGGTTGTATTGAGATATGACAAATAACTTTGGATCCAGAACTTCTCTTAAAAATTAAAGTTAAGGGCCCAGCATGGTAGCTTAGCAGATCGGGCTCCCATTAGGGGCACCGCTTCTAATCCCAATGGCCCCCATTCAGCTCCCTGCTTGAGGCCTGGGAAAGCAGTCAAGGACGGCCCAAGGCCTTGGGACCCTGCACCCACATGGGAGACCTGGAAGAGGTTTCAGGCTACTGGCTTCAGATCGGCTCAACTCCAGCCGTTGTGGCCGTTTGGGGAGTGAATCATCTGACGGAAGATCTTCCTCTCCGTCTCTTCTCCTCTGTGTATATCTGACTTTCCAATAAAATTAAAAGAGATCTTTAAGAAAAATTAAAGTTATTAAATAGCATAATGCGTTTTGTTGTGACACAGCATGAGAAAGCATTTAAGTTTTTTGTGTTTTATATTCAAAGCATTTCTCACTTGTTAGACCATCTAGTAGAATACATAATGTTCAATTCACAGGGATTTTCTTTTACACATCTTAGGAACTGCAAGAAAGGAAAGTCAGAAAGACAAATCCTGTGAACCTAAATCCCCAAAAATAGAAGGAAAGCTCTGGTCAGGTAACTCCTCATTTAATCCCTTTAATTTCAAGTTTTCAATTAATTAGATTCTTTTATTTAATATCCTAGAACAAAATCACTGTGAAAATGAAGTTAACCTAATCGTGCTTTTGGAATGTGTATTTTACAGGTGAATTTTTGACGTGTAACTGGGGAATGAAGTATGTCAAATTTGAAGATGAGGAACAGGCAAATATAATCTATGGCAACTCGAGGTTCACAGGTACATATTAACAACAAAACTAGGAAATATAGCTGATGATCAATAGATGGACTTAATTTGCCATGGACTCCACGATAAAGACTGGCTTTCCCTAAGACACACCCGGACAGTGTGCCCCATTAGTTGTCCCCAAGAGCTGACGGATCTGTACATAGATTCAGCGACAGAATGAGCAAACATAGATGGATATTTCTGGTGATAGTATACTATTGATGGTGGCATATACTATTGATGAATGACCTGCTTTCAAACATACAGCATTAGTATACATTTTTTAGCCATCATGTAGCTCTTCAAGTGCTTTCAGCATATAATCCTTACATATCTGATTCCAAAACACAAAAGGAAACAGATATTAAATAGAATTCAACAGAAATCATTCCATTTATTCTTCTTCCTTGTATGCCCATACAAATATAACTATTGTTTTTGAAACTTGTGAAGAAATACCTATTCAACAGAGTAAGTGGGAATTTTTGGCTTTTGGATAAACCGTGTACTTAATGATTATTCTAAAAATTGCCCAAGTTTTACTGAAATTCTATGAGTAACAATAATTCGATGAAGAATTATCGCTTGCTATCTGTGATCATTTTAAGACCGGACGAGGTAACAAACTTTCTATTCTGGTGAAAAAGTATGGCATTGGTCAGACTCTTGTGGCCTACTACCTTGTATTTGTCTTTCTAATCTTTATTTAATATTGTTTATCATTTTTAAAACTTGCACGGATGATCATTTTAAATCATATCAAGTTTCATATAGAAAGCATAAGGGCATGATGTATGAATCAATGAATAAATCAAACTGGGCCCAGCACAGTAGCCTAGTGGCTCAAGTCCTCGCCTAGCACTTGCCAGGATCCCATATGGGCACCAATTTAATCCTGGTGGCCCCATTTCCCATCCAGTTTCCTGCTTGTGGCCTGGAAAAGTAGTTGAATATGACCTAAAGCCTTGGAACCTTGAACCTGCAGAGGAGACCTGGAAAAGGCTCCAGGTTCCTGGCTTCAGATGGGCTCAGCTCCAGCCATTGCAGCCATGTGGAGAGTGAATGAGCAGACAGAAGATCTTCCTCTCTGTCACTCCTTCTCTCTGTATATCTAACTTTTCAATAGAAATAAATAACAAATCTTTTAAAGCAAATGAGTAAATAAATAAAACCTAAGGCACTGACTAGACATTTTATGAAATATGAATATATGAAATACAACTTCATGATATGCCATTGAATCTTAAGATGAGCATATAAGTCCACACTCTTGATGGAAAGGTATTGCGGTAGTATTTACTGGAAAGTCCAGAGTGTAGCTGGCTTCATTAAAAAACTGGACGCAGGAGCTCAAACTTGGCTTCAAGATACTGTCTATCTTTCATCCCTGTTCTCGATATTGTGGCAAAAATGTCCACAAGAACATTTCTGTTTACATCCTGCTAGTTCAGCAATCAGAGTACACCAAGGATGACTCTTTCCTAATGGTTCCTTTAGAACTAATTTCCATTGACCCATAGTAGTTAGCATTGTTGTTGTATATGAATTGTTGGCCAGGCCTGTATCACATGGTCACACATGGCTAAAGGGTGGGAAGGCTTAATATAACCTCATTTGTCTGAATTGACATTGGAGAAGTTTTCCCAAAGAAGAAAAGGAGCAAACATTCCTGATATGCAAAAATAGCAGCTGACTATTATGATAGGCACTCATTTATTTTCCCTAGGATTTGAGAGAATTGTTGACTTAACTGCTTGATATTTGTTTCCTGCCTCACAGACCTACACTCAATTGTAAGAAATATTCAGTCTCACAAGGAAGTAAAAGGTAGGAGTGCCTTCAATGCAGTTTCCTTCAACCTGCTCCAGTTTGTGCAACTCCTGGAGACATTTGTCGGTGAGGATACCTCCTTGAATGTCAGCGAGACCCTTGCCTCATTTTTTAAGAGGGGCTACGTTGAGAGGAAAGAAGAGAAAATGAGTGCTTTAGAACAGGTGGGTAATATTCATCAATGAAACAAGAAAATCACAAAGTGCTGAACACTTTTTTGGAATAAATACAGAGTTCCAAGTGGCATGATGAACACCATATCCTCTGTGCTTTGATTTTCCATTTGTATCCTAGGTAAGACAAAATGCTTTCCGAGTCCGACGGGGGCTTCTCCTAGAAGCCCTCTTTCAGAAGTGGGACAGTGATGGCTCAGGCTTCCTGAATGTGAAGGAAGTTGATGAACTCTTGTATACATACAAGCAGGGAATGGAAAAAGAATCTATGAAGAAAGGTAAATAAAACATACAACTTAGCTTCAGGTTTTCCAGTACTATAATATGCAACAGTGAATATATCACCTACTCTAAAATCATGAGATATTATTTCATACTCACTAGTAATAATGTAATTTTTAAAATAGAAAAATAACAATGTTACCAAAACAGAGAAAATTGAGAACCCTCATATATTTTTTTCAGCACAGTCAGGAATAAAATATGTTGTAGAATGCTTTGTCCAGGGTTGGCACTGTAGCATAATATCCTGCCATCTGCGATGCCAGTATCAATTGTGGATGCCAGTTTCAGTCCCAGCTGCTCCACTTCCAATCCATCTCTATGCTCTGCATCTAGGAAAGAAGTGGAAAATAGGCTAGTCCCTGGACCTCTGCATCCATGTAGGAAACCCAGATGAAGTTTCTGGCTTCTGGCTTCTGCCTGACCCAGCTCTGTTGCAGCCATTTAGGGAGTGAACCAGTAGATGAAAGATCATTCTCTCTGTCTCTCCTTCTCCTTTTTCCCTTTCTCTCTGTAACTCTTTCAAATAAATACATTTTTTAAAAAGATGTTTTATCCAAGACTTTAAGTCTATATGGCTAGATTCCTTCTGTGTGCCTAACTACCTTCACTCCAAGTTATAAGAACCCAAACTGTAGCCTGGTACTGGTACAAAGAGAGAGGAAGATAATGGAGTAGAATAGAAGCAACAGAAGGTACACAGGTACAGTCAAATAATCTTCATCAAGAAAACAGACAACAATCCATTCAATAAATGCTGTTGGGACAATTGTTTGATAGCCTGCAGAAATAAGAAACCAAACCCATACCTTTCACCATACACAAAGATCGAATCTAAGTGGATAAAAGATCTAAACCTGATCTGGTTTGAGAACACCTCAGACAAAATTTCTTTGGAGATCTTCCCAATCAAAATGCTAGACTCAGAACCCTAACCAAGAAAAGAGAGAAGACAGAACAGGCCAACCAACCAACTCAGCTATATGTTGGCATCGAAATACAAGGCAAACGGAGACTCTATGATGGACTATGTCAATCAGTGGATTCTTCAACGACCTCATAGTGCTTGGAGTGGCAAGATTGGTAGCGATTCATAACTATTGAAATATCAAGGGCCCGGCGTGAAGGCGCCGTGGTTAAGGTCCTCGCCTTGCACTCCTGGGACTCCAGACTCTTGCAGATATTTTGTGGATGATGTGTTTTGAGAAAGATTACCAATGCCAGCCCTCAGAGGGCTTGATAAGCAGCAAACCATCTGCCTACTGTTTGCAAATACCATCAGAAGAGTTACTGTGCTTATTGGATTCCTTGTAGATATTGTAACTTGAGGCCCTTTGCTATGGCAGATATTGCCATGACAACCCTCCCCTACAGTGGGGTCTCCTGAGGCTTCCACAGTCCTCACCTCCTCTATTGTGAAAACCCAGTCACACAGTCTATGATAAGAGAGCATTAGTACTTAGAGACTGAAATGCCTTTTGGCTGGCTAATGAAAAGGTTTCTCCAGCATGGTAAGTAATCCAGGCCACTGCAGTCAGACCACCCTGCAGCCACACCAGACTGAGTTGGAGCTGCATTCCTACCTGGATGACAGCAGGAGTGGCCTTGACAGCCTGCAAGTCAGCAGCACCTATAACATTGAGCAGCAGGTATGCCCCTACTCAGGAGCCAACACGGAGTATCAGTTTGGGGATGCCTGTGTCTACTTGAGCTGAGAAGTATGTGAGATCTGTTGGCTGCGAGTCCCACATCCCTTTCATCCCTTTTATATTAGGAGATCTGTATACTGAAAAACCTTCAAAGAAAGCTGGGACAAAATGTGCAATGATCCTTGACAAGGCCACTGCTTCTGAAAGAAAAGTTGGGATTCCCTCCAGCTGCAGTCACTTGCACTGCCTGTCCTGCATCCAAAGGTTGAGATGTGCCAAGCAACTTGAAAACCCAGTCGTTGAATCTTGTCCAGAATGCTGTGTGATTTCAGAACTAGTAACTTCAAGTGTGTGTTGGGTGAAAGCTCAAAATAAAAAGAATAAGTTGACTGACATTTTCAAACAGGAAGCATGGGGAGAGGGAGTGTATAAGTACATCGAGCAAGGTAGCAGGATTGGCGAAGCTGGCCCATTGGAATGCCCATATCCTCATCACCCTCACCACCATGCTTGTCCTGATGGACAGTTAGCAGCTTGTCCTGGGAACCTTTAGAAACAGCTCTGTTCTGAGGGCACTGGGAGTTTCTGTAATTTGCTGTAGCTTTGGGATTTAATCAATAGAAAACCAAGATGTCTCCAAATTGAAGATGTAAACATGAGATATCTGGGGGGCCTGTTCATGCATCCTTCTGGAGTGGAGTTCCCAAAACGCTAAAGAATCAATGGCTAACCCTGCATCTCTGGGCCTTACTAGATAAAAATTTACTGCATCAGGATGTGCAAAGCTCCTCACCTAGCTTGGGCTCTGACATTCCAACTTAAACCATCTCTCTATAGGGCCACCATCTTCATTCTTATGGACTGAAGTTTGATCTTCCACAAGGGTAACTTCTTCACCCTTCTCAGGCGCTTACAAACCATAGGACACTGTTCCCCTGCCCTCTTTAATCCTGTGCCACTTGGGTTTCCCTGAGCCAGAACTGGCACTCACATTGGTCTGTTCTGCTTGAAGGCTTTAGGACCAAATTGTTCTAGAAAGCAAAGGAATGAAAGGATAATGGGAAGAAATAGAAGAGGAAGAACTCCCAAGTTACTTTTCATCAGAGGACTGTATCAGTTAGAACTCTTTTGGCTCAAGAAGTTTAAAAAAAAAAGTAGTTAAATGAAAAATAAAGTAGTTTATTCATTCATGTAACAGAGAAGTTCAGAACTGCTTCAAGACACAACAGTTCCAACAATTACTTCAGGGAAGAGATGTCTAGCTCTTTCTCTTGCTTTTGCTTCAGCCCTGCTCTCCTCTAGGATTTAGCTCCTTGTCTTCATTGCTCCCCTTTTGCTGACCAGGATGAGTCTCACATCCTCACATTCATTCAAGTTCAATGAGAGCAAAACGGAAAATGTCTTTTTTCTAATAATTTTAGCAAAAAGACTGACATTAGGGGCCAGTATTGTAGCAGAGAGGATTAATATATTACTAAAATGGATAATTTAATAATAAGCATATTGAGCACTAATTACTGGCTAAGAATTTATAAAGTAGCAAAAGCAAGCATGGCACTAGGAAAGTAAGATTGGGAAACAGTGGCTATAAGATATGTTGCCAGGGTCTGGCGTGATGGCTCAAATCGTCCATCTTAAGCACTGGAATCCCATATGGGTGCCAGTTTATGTCCCAGCTGTTTCACTTCCCATCCAGCTCCCTGCTTACGGCCTGGGAAAGCAGTGGAGGATGGCCCAAAGCTTTGGGACCCTGTACTCACATAGGAGACCCAGAAGAAACTCCTGGCTTCTGGCTTCAGATGGGCTCAGCTCCAGTCATTGCAGCTATTTGGGGGAGTGAACCAGTGGATCAAAGATCTTTCTCTCTCTCAGTATCTCCTTTTCTCTGTAAACCTGCCTTTCCAATAAAAATAAATCAATATATTTAAAAAAAAAACAACAGAGGTAGTTTGAGAGGCAAGTGAGTGAAAGGAGGCCAAGGGAATTTCCTGGATAATAAAACTGTGCTACGTTTTGTTTAGGGTGTCAATTATGTATGTTGCCAGAGAGTAACAGGATAAGATAAGTGGTTCGTTGAATAAAGAAAGCAAAATTTAGGCAGAAGTCAAAGAAGATCCTGGGGTTTCACAAAGCTGAATAGTAAAATTAAAACAAAACAGGAAAAGAGAAAAGCAAAAGATGACACAAGAGTCTCACTGAGTTTGGCACAGGATGTCACTATGCGTTATTCTGTTGGAATCAGAAATGCCTTTGATATACCTGGCTTTTCAAGGACAGCAGATTGGAGAGCTTCATCTTGTAAGAATAGAATGAAAATTCTTTCGTACTTCTGGTTAGTTCTTAATTTTGTGTTTATATATTTTAGCTAAACTACACATCCAATTTGCAAAGCCACATCCTGGTCATGAAGTAAGGTTGTCATCAAAACAATTTCAGAAATACATAGAATTGGTTGTGTCTGAACTCAGGGGCAACGAAGACCAAGTTCTGGAAAGCATTGTGGAATTTCTAATGAACGCTTTAGAGAGGAGTCACATTGAGTGTCTGAGGAATTGTGCCAGACGGAAGTGGCTGCATCAAATCCAGCGTGCTGCAGAGATGAGTGGCGTGTCCCTGGAGCCGGTGTACACTGAGACCTTTAAGGCCTTGACCCAGGTACGTTGTCTGAAGTGACAGTAAGTAATGTTCAATGGGTGAAAATACAGAGCACACTGAATTCTCTTGAAAAATCACTAGGCGTGATTACAAATGGTTTAGTCATTCATTTATTCATTTCAACAGTACAAATGACCCAAACTCTGGAATGCATGTTGATTGGCAAGATATAAAAAGAACAGTAGGGGAGTGAACCGGAAGATGGGAGAGCTCAGTCTCTTGCTCTCCCACTGTGTCTCAGTAACTCTGTCTTTCAAATAAAAATAAAATATTTTAAAAGAGAGAGAGATAAACATAGAGAAGACAGATGTAGGTACCTTGGGATTCCTACTTTCATTTTTGCTAACAGTCCAATAAGCCTAGAATAGACAAAGTATCAGGAAATGTGCTAGAAGTTCGAGCTCTGTTTCTCTTCAGTGATGTTTTGAGAGTCACTTTTAAAATGAACTATTTAAATGATAAATTCATTGTCAAGTAGACTCTAGCATCACACAGTATTTCACTACACTGCCTAGAAGCAAGCTGAGACTATTGCAGAATCCTGTCCCACAGAACACTAGACACAGAGGGGGCACTAACCAGTCTTTCCACATTCTCAGAGATTGCTATTTCTCTGAGAAAGAAACAGCACAGTTGTCTTCTACAAATATCACAGATTCCAACTCTTCTAGGGAACGTGTACTAAACAGCAACCCTTGCGCATCAGTATCATCTACAGAATGATCCCGTTTTCTAGTGCAGTCGGAAATGGTGCAATTAGAATCAGAAGACTACTGAGGAAAAAGGGATATCACCCCAACTTGTTCCAGAGATCTGTGGCACACTAAGATAATCTTAGAAAACATTCCCATGGAGCAATAAGCAATAAAGGCAGGAGAAAATAAAATCATGAAAAGTAAAACTTTCAGATATATACAAAGAGTAGAGAAATGTCAAGGAAAGTGTCTCCCATGTCTCCAATATGATATACATCTATTTTTTTCAACATATATGCTAACGTATGTTAAAAATTTCATAGACATTCATATTATGAAAAAAACCACACATGGATTTCAAGTTCTTTTTGAACCAAAATAAACTTATGCTGACTTATGTTTTAATATGTCTGAGCAGGATTTAGTGTGATGAGGGACTAAGGCTAGCACATCAGTTTGCAAAGAGTCTCTGTCAGAGCAACTTGACTCTGCTAAAACTGAAGCAAAAACCAGCATCCAGTTTGGTGAAACTTGGATTGGGAGGATGGCAGAAATCCGACATTTTGTAAGTCAGATAGTCCTTAAGCATGACAGTGTTCCTGCTCATTCCTCTCATCAAGCAAGAGCAATTTGGTGAGGATTTCAGGAGCAGATTGCTAGGCATCCACATATACAATCCTTCGACTCCTGGTTTCTGACTTCTTTTTTTATTTCCTAATCTTAAAAAAAAAAGTCTAAAAGATACACAGCTGTCTTACATTAATAATATAAAAAGAATTGCATTTACATGGTTCAGTTCCTAAGACCTTCAGGATGGACCAACCAGTATCACCACTTACAAAATGACCTGAACTTGTTGGCACTTGTATTGAGGAATATATCTTATCCTTCAAAATTTGTATCTTTTGGAGCTGGCACCATGGCCACCTAAGCACCAGCATTTTATTTGGGCACAATTTGAGTTCCAGCTGTTCCACTTTCAATCCAGCTCCCTGCTTATGGCCTGGGAGAGCGGCAGAGGATGGCTCAAATCACTGAGCCTATACACTGACATGGGAGAAATGGAGGAAGCTCCTGGCTTCGGATTGGCTCGGTTCTCCCTGTTGTGGCCCTTTCAGGGAGTGCACCAGTAGGTGAAAGATTTCTCCATCTCTTGCACTCTCCCTGTAACTCCACTTTTAAAATAAAAATAATTTTTAAAAATTCAAAATCTAATAATAAATTTTTATTTTTAACTAATTTATCCTGAGACATTTGGAAGTCACTCTGTAATAGTGTTACTAATATTTAAAAATTTTTAGGTACATAAAATTTTCTCATATTTTGACTAGAAAAATAGTAATTATAGAAAGTCTGCTTTCTTAAGCTCCAAAAAATCCTTTCCAAAATGATGCAGATCAAATACCCAAACTATGTTAAGAATTCCTGGGACAGATGCTGTGGCACAGTAGGATGAGCCACTGCTAGGGAGGCCTGCATCCTCTGCTGCAAAGCAGGAATGAATCCCAGTTACTCCACTTCTGATCCAGTTCCCTGTTGATGTGCCTAGGAAAGCAGCAAATGTGGTTCAAGTACTTGAGTTCTGCCACCCAAGTGGAAGACTCAAATAGAATTGCTGGCTCCTGGCATCAGCTTTGACCACTGTTGTGGCCACTTAGGAAGTGAATCAGTGGATAAAAGATCTCTCTCTCTCTCTCTCTCATTCTACCTTTCAAGTACCTAAATAAATAAATCTCCTTAAAAAGTGAGAAATCCTTGAAATTGTTTTTTCCCACATTTACATCGTCAAAGTTTATGAAGAGATAAATGTGAAAGGAAGGGCTGGAAACAGAACCGACCCAGCAATTACAACCACCAGCTGATTGGGGTGATGGACCATGCCGGGCCCTATACTTGCAAGTACACACAAGAACCTGTTCTGGGTTCACCTCAGACAGTTTCTTTAGGGATCCCCCAAATCAAACTGCCTGACTCAGATCCCTAACCATGAAAAGACAGAGGACAGAACAAATCAATCAACTACCCCAGCCATATGCTGGCAGTGAAAAACAGGGCAAATGGAGACTCTAAGATGGAATATGTCAATCAGAGGATTCCTCAGCGACTTCATCGTGCTTGGAATGGCGAGACTGGCAGCAGTTCATGACTGTTGAACTATCAAAACCACTTGAGCAAGACCCTCGGAGCATGCCCCATATCGGGGACCTGGGATGGGTGGGGTTTCACCCTTTACCTCCCCTTTTACCCCAGATAAAGGAAAAAATGTAGAAATGATAATCTTACCCACTTTCCTGTAGCCCTTGAACCTTTCTGCCATAATTAACTATGTAAAGATTGTCAAAAATAATGGGAAAAAGTTTTAAATTTAAAAAATGTGAAAGGAAAGCATCTTCTTGTGTCAGCTCTCTCAAATAATACTTTTTAAATTAGTTTATTCTTATTTGCTTGAAAAGCAGAATGACACACACAGATAAGTAGATGGGGAGAGATGAAAGGGAAGAGAGAAGAGAGAATGAGATCTTCCATCTGCTGGTTCACTCATCAAATGCCTGCAAAAGCCACACTTAGGCCAGGCTGAAGCTAGGAGCTGGGAACACCATCCACGTGGGTGGCAGGGACCCAAGCGTTTGAACCATCATTTGCTGTCCTGAGGTGTGCACCTTAGAAGGAAGCTGCATTGAAAGCACAGCCAGAACCGTTTCCAAGATGCTTCAGTTTGGTATGCAGACATCCCAAAGTGACTCCCACTGCGCCACAATGCCCACTGCTTAAACAGGTACTTTTAACTGAAGCCCAGATAGTATGTCCATGTTCAAAAAGAACAAAGCTTTGTGCCTCCAAACTTGAATGAACTTGAGAGTTTGCTGTTCTTTCTCATTGACACAGAGGCTAGCTGTGATGTCAGCCTTTTCATCCATGTGAAGACTAATATGTGCATCATCTATTCAGGGAACTAAAACTATAGGGACCCAGTGAAGGCAGATTGACTCATGAGAGGAAACGTGAGTGGGGTAGTTTTTTGGCTATTTGGCAAATAGATGATCAGAAACATTTTTGCCACAGGATGCTGAAACCCATGGAAATAAGAAGATAAGTGCTCACATTTCCCTCTTAGAAGAAAACGTCCTTCTGCCACACAGAGGGAGTGTTGTGTTAAGGAATGTGGCTTGTACCGTAGATGATGCTCCATTTGTTCTGAATAAAGTACTCTACCGGGACATGAAAGGAATAAGGTAATTGCTTCCTGGAGAGGTTGACTTTATTTTTAAAAAAAATAATCAAATCTTTTCTGCTAGCATCAAAATCCTAGCTAGCTACCCAAGGAAGTAATGTTTCTAAGAGAAGAGGTGACAGTTCCCACTCCTGGATGCTTTTCCTGGATCACTTCTAGAGCTCCCTCTATAACAATGACTTGCAGCGTAAGGGCCCTACTTCACAATATCAGCTCGATTAATTCTGCCTGCTTCTGTAAGTTAATTGTGTCCCCGGTATCCTATTTATGTAAGTTTTCTCTGTTACAACTAAACTTGTTTTTTAAAATCTTTCCCTGAAGTCAGTCAGATTCCCCAAACTGGCAATCTTACCTGAATCCCTTTCTCTGACATATAACGACTATAACTGTGGGTGAGAAATTGATTTAGTTTTCCCCATGCTTTAGTCCGAAGCCTCCCGCTGTGCCTTTCTCTCATTCTCCTGTTGCTTTTCCTCAGCTTTACAGTCGTGGATGAAGGGAAGCCAATCCATGTCCCCCAAGTTCAGCACCACGGGAACATCTTCTTCTGGAACCAGTCTCGCAATAAGGAGGATTATAACGGCTCCTTCCTGGCACTGCCTCTTCAGGATGCACACATGAGGATCTTTGGGGTCTTGGCTGTTGACACGCTTAGAGATCCTCACAAAATAAACATCTTCCTTCCACATGAGATCAGATTCTACCAGGTAAGTTACAAAAGTGTCTAAGATTGATGATAGGATGGCCTCTCCTAGACCTTTCACAAAGAGAAACTTGAAACTAAGTGAATTAAAGCTATGTATCCTTACAATGACATCCTACTTGCTCCTGTTCCTTCTCTCTGTCTTTGGAGAAATACTCTTATGGGAAAATTGAGCACCTCGGTAGCATATACAATCCTCCCTAGGGAGATTTTTAATGTGTATCCCATAGCATTGATCATAGGAGTAGAAGTTATATGGTAGAACATAAACCCACTGACTAGATCACTAAGACCTACAAAGCACTTTATTAACAGGGGTACCGAGGAATCCTTATTTATTTCCACAAAGGGTACTAAATGTGGAATGCATCCCCATAGCTATTGATTTCAGTGCTAACATTTTTGAGGATAAAGTATAGAGAATAAAGCCCAAATATTTCATCAATGTCATGTTTTCAAGTTAGATCACAAAAAAATTAAGTTCCTCTTGAGACAATTAAGTAGCTAGGCCATTTCCACAAGCATTTTCATTTAATTTTGTAGATGGAAATAGCAATAAATGAAGAATGAAAGCCTCTAAATGGACTGGGGTAGGCAGCAGAACTTTGCTATCCCATATCATTTGTACCCTGTAAACCTCTGATCTTTTATGTTATTGATTTCTTGACCATTATTTTTTCATTTTTAGCACCTGTTTGCTGAGTGGGTAGCTGAGGAAAGTAACATAATCTCTTCATGTGTCTTTTTAACACTATTTATTCTGGGCAGATGTTGTGGCATAACAGGTTAGACTACCACTTGGAATGTGTATGTGCCGTATCAGAGTGCATGGATGAAGTGTCGCCTCCACTTCCATCCTAGCTTCCTGGTTTAGCACACCCTGGGAGGCAACAGATGATGGCACAAGTACGTGGGTCCCTGCCACTTATGTGAGAGACAGGGGTAGAATTGCTAGCTCCCAACCCAACTTCAACCTTGGTTATTATGGCTATCTGGGGAATACACCAGCAAACTGAAAATCTGTCTCTCTGTTTCTCTCTATCTCTATCTCTCTCAGTCTATTGCTCCACTTTCCAAATAAAATAAACAAATATTTTAAAATAAGATTCATTTGCATCTGAAATAATAAGCACACAAAGATATTAAGAAGGAAAATTGAGGAATATGAAATTAATCAGATAGTGAATTATATATTGTCTTGCTGGAGAGCATGTTAAAATGAATCATGTCCCTTGGACATGAAGACTGCTGTGTAATACCTTTAATACCTTGAATCACGATATAAAATGCACATGATTTTGAAGAAATTGTGATTCTTGGAGTTTCTTCACAACAGGCTTACAGATGGATACTTAAGGAGCTCCCATCTCTTCTCTGTGAAGCAAGGTCTCACTGCGCCTATGAAAGTACTGCATAATCTAGTATGTTGCAGACCTTGGAACCCAGCAAGTCCTGTGCTGGTGATACAATCAAGAGTAACCATGTATAAATGCAGACATTAAAATGGGCATCAGTTCAGGGCACCTTCTAACCATTTGCTCAATGTTCTTTGTTTCTAAACTTTTTTCCTCATTTCAAAGTTTATCTTGTTTAAGATGTTTTCGATTCTCTAATAGTACATATCACAAATTTCACTGATGATTTTCAGAAAACATAAAAGGGAATATAGAGTTGTCTATACCCTTTGAGTAAAAAAATACATATATTTGTTATGATAGGCAGAATCACAGAGACAGAGAGAAGGAGAGAATCTTTGATCCACCGAGTCACTTCCCAAATGTTTAAACACCTAGAGCTGGGCCAGGCTGAAACCAAGATCCAGGCTGAAGCCAAGATCCACGTGGTGGGTTCCTCAAACTCCCATCTGAGTTTCCCACAGGGGCCCAAGTACTTGGGCCATCTTCTGCTACTTTCATAGGTACATTAGCAAGAGGCTAGATGGGAAGTGGAGCAGCCAGGACTGGACACATACTCATATGGAGACCAGTATAGCAGGAGGCAGTTCAACCCACTGTGCCACAATGCTGACGCCATCTTTGATTTTTTTTTTTAATTCTTATTTCCCTGCATAATTTGAATTCTACCTTTTGAGAACTGATGATTAAGTTATACAAATTTGATTGTTATTTATTAAAGAGATAACACAATTAATGTGTTACTAATTATTTTAAAGAGAAAAAGGAGGGACCAGCATTATGATATAGTAGGTTAAGCAGCTGCCTGCAATGCCACATCCCATAAGGGCACTGTGTGGAATCCAGACTGCTGTACTTCTCATCTAGTTCCCTACTAATGTACCTGGGAAAGCAATGGGGAATGATCCAAACGCTCAGGCCCCCGGTGCCCACGTAGGAGATCTGGATGAAGCTTCTGGTTTTGGCTTGGCCCAGTTCTAGCTGTTGTAACCTTTAGGCGGATGAACCATGAGATGGAAAAACTCTCTCTCCCTCTTTTTCTCTTTATAACTCTACCTTTCAAATATATTAAAATTAACCTTTAAAAGCCCACTTATTAAAAACAAAAAGGAAACTTACTTTTCTCTCTGTGTAGGGTGTCGCCAATGTCTTTAGCTCTGCCTATCACTACATCCACAGCCGCGAGCACATCCTGCATATAGTGATCACTGGCATTGGCTGGCTCTCCAACATCACATCTGGCATCGCCTCCATCACTACATTCTTTGTTGAGCCTAGCCCAAACCAGGTAGGCAAGATGGGAACTCTGCCCTCAAATGATTATATTAGATGTCTTCAGTGTAACAGCATCTGTAGATGTTATTGTCCTGTTCATGTTTTTTTCTTTTTTTTTTTTTAATTTTTATTTTGATGATCTTTACATAGCTGATTAGGGCTCAAAGGATCAAGGGCTACAGGAAAGTGGATAAAACCATTGTTTCTACATTCTCTTTTTTCCTTCCTGTATCCTGCTAATATTTTTAAGCCATGCTTATTAGCTGTATGCTAACTGGGGACATATTTCCTGTCACCTCAAATCAAGCCATTGATGATGAATGACAAGAATCCATCTCAGATTGCCTTAGGCAAAAGAGAAAAATTACTAACTCATGACCAACGTGAAGAAAGGGCAGGAGACAAGTTGGCTCCCAGGATGACCAGATCCTGGGATTTCATACCCTTGGGACTATCTCGTGCTGCTCATCTTTCCATTTCTCATGTTTGCTTCTTTCTGCGTGTTGACTTTGTTCTTCCAGCTGAAGCTGGACTTTCAAATGTTGACTAACAAAGCAAAAACTTCTAATTTGGGAAATTAGAAAACAAAGCTGTCTTTGACCTATCCAGAGATCTAATTCCTTGTTCAAGTAAGGCAATCCACAGGAAACGGCCACGCTGACCAGAATCCAATATTGGGTAAAATGTAAAGTGTGAAGGGGCGAGGTGAGGGACTGCTGCTTCAGAAAAACACAATTATATCACACCAATTAAAAGAAAAACCCTTATATGTAACTTGATGAATTTTAGATGAACATTTGTTTTAGTTATTTGCATATAACTTTAATGTTATGATTTTCCACATGATGAGAATGAATAGAGGGACCAGCATTGTGGTGTAGTTGATTAAGCCACTTCCAGTGGTGCAAGCTCCAATTGAGTCGTGGCTGGTCCACTTTCAATCCACTCCTCTGTTAGAGAGCCTGGGAAAGCCACAGACGATGACCCATGTGCTTGGGTCCCTGCCACTCTTGTGGAAGACCTGGATAGAATTCCTGGCTGCTGGCTTCAGTAAGATCCAGCCTTAGCAGTTTAGCCATTTGAGGAGTAAATCAAAATTCTCTCTCTCTCTTTCTCTCTAGCTCACCTTTTCAAATAAATTAACAAGTTAAATCACAGGCAGGAAGGAAAACCTGGGGCATGGAGACAAGACACAGTTTCATCTCCCAAGCAGCATTCAGCATGCGAGACACTATGGATCCTCTTTATCCAGAGTGTTCCTTTTTACTCTAAGAATCATTTTTAAAAGGAGGGGACACAAAAAATACTTCTTTACTTCTAATTAAGTCTGTCTTTCCTCAAGCTTAGAGGACTTTATTGATATGTTAGTATTGCTGTCTTGTAAATAAACTAGTTTCTCCATAAAAAAAATGCTGATAAATTCTCATTAAAATATTTACATAATCCACTTGTGGATGAGGATCTATAGTTTGAAAACCTCTTGGAATTGAGAAAAATAGGGCCGGGCATTGTAGCACTGTAGGTTAAGCCACTGTTTGGGACACCTGCATCTCATGTTGGTGTTCCTGAGTTTGTGTTAGGATCTGCTTCTGACTCCAGCTTCCTGCTAATGTCACCCTAGGAGGCGACAGCTCAAGTTATTGGGTCCCTGCCACCCAAGTAGGAGAATCAGGTGGAGTTTCTGGCTTCTGTCTCCTGGCTTGGTCCAGTCCCAGCTGCTGGAGGAATTTGGAGAGTAAAACAGAAGATGGACCATCTCTCTTTTCCCCCCAAATTCCTACCACTTTCGAACAGAATGAAAATATAAAGAAAGAGGAGGAGAAAAGCTAGGGGTCATCATAATTTTGTAATTTTTCTACTTAGCTGTCTCCACAAGCAGTGAGACTAGGAGGTTTAATTATTCCTCTCTAATGAAATCTCTTCCTCTTTTCTAGGATTCAGACTATGTTTTACGCAATATGATGGTTACAGGGCAGCTGGGTCTGACAGAAATCCACACGAATCCCCCTATCATCACAAGGAAGTCATGTGTCTTCAGGTATGAGACATGTCTGTTTTGCTTGGCCACAGTGCAACTGCCGGTCTAAAAGTAGATCTGGAAGACACAGCTTCTGCATTGTAGCACACTTTAACTTTTATTCTGAATGCCTTCAAAATAATTTCTATAGAATATTATTTTTCTTGGAAAGGAAAGGAAGAGAAGGGAAGGGAAGGAAGAGGAAAGGAAAGGAAAATGCATTTTGAAATACTAACATTTTGTAAATACTTTATTATTTTTAAAAGATTTGCTTTTATTTGAAAGGCAGAGTTAAAAAGAGAAGGAAAGAGAGGGTAGGGAGAATCTTCTCTCCACTACCAGTTCACTCCCCAAATGGCCACAGTGGCCAGAGTAGAGCTGATCCAAAGCCAGGAGCCTCCTCCAGATCTCCCACATGGATGCCACATCTCAAGGAACTGAGCCATGCTCCACTACTTTCTCAGGCCATAAACATAGAGAACATTGGAAGTGGAGCAGCCAAGACTTGAACCAGCACCTACATTGGGATGCTGGCACCAAAATAGGAAGCTTAACTCACTACACCATGGCACTGGCCACTTTACAAAAACTTTAATAGTGTCTCCCTATCAACATGGACAGGAGACGGGGAAAGAGATATATGCCCTACTAGAGAGAGCAGTGACCACCACACAACATGACCACAAAAATCTGTCACTGAGGCAGATGCTGTAAAGGCCTGGCCAGACCCCCATTGTGTTCTGCCAGTTGCCACAGGCTCTGCTGCAGGTAACCAGCCTTACCTTCTGTGGAGGAGTTCCCGTAAGTGACTGGAGCCCCTCACCAGGAGGGGTCCAGGTAATAGGTAAACATCCCTCACCCTATACCACCAACATACCCGGAGCTTTTTAGAGCAATAGTGCTAGGATACAAATGACACCTGCCTTGCTTTAAAGTGGGAGGACAGAGTCTTTGGTACAGTGTACCTCCCGCTTCTGTAAGGACACCGAGGTTAGACTTCACCTGAAGCTACCTTCTGCTTAGCTCCTCTCTCTGCTAGCCTGCTTTCCTCAGTCCCTCACACATCTCTTCTTCATCCAACCAACACATGCCTGACAGCAAGTAAACAAAAGGACAAACACCCTCTAGGACAAGCAGTAAAAGATGCCGATCTTTCATAGGAGAGCGCCTGAGGTCAAGTCCCAGCCCCAGCGTCTGACTCCAGCTTGCTGCAATAGATCCTGGGAGGCAGAAAATGATCAATTAAATGATTGGGTTCCTACCACTCATGTGGGAGACCCAGCTCCTGACTTCCAGTTGGCTCAGCCCTGGCCGTTGTGGACATTCGGGAGAGCTCTCTCACTCCCATGTGCGCTCTTGCTCTTGCTCTCTCACTTCTCTTTGCCCCTTTATAAAACCGAACCTCCGGAACTGGCATGACATGGGCACCAGTTCTAGTCCCAGCTGCTCCCTGCCAATCCATCTCCCTGCTTATAGCTTGGACAAGCAAAGGAGTATGACTCAAGTGCTTGAGCCCCCATACACCTATGTGGGCAACCTGGAGCAGGCTCCTGGCTCCTGGCTCCTGACTTCAGACCAGCTTAGCTCAGGCCTTGCGGCCATTTAGGGAGTGAAGCAGGAGGTGCGAAATCTCTTTCTCCATCTCCTTTCTGTAACTCTGCCTTTCAAATAAATAAATCAAAAAAAAAATTCACATGAACACTAACATCTGCATAGTGAAGCCAGTGAGGTGGAACATCATGATGGAGAAGGGCTTGGATGCGTGTGCTTAGGTTAGGTGCCAAGAAAAGACTTCAGTGCAGAGGGGATGCGAGGAGAGGGCTGAGCGGAGGGCTACAGCCCTGTGAAATCAAGGGGTGGAGTGTCCCAGGCAGACAACAGCAAGATTGGTAGAAGTGAAGCAGATACAAGCGAGTGATTCGGTATGCTCAAATGGAACGTCATGAACAGGCTGATGCTTAATATCCTTGTGCTTATGTGCTTTGGATTTCAGAGATTTCCTCTTTAAGTGCTCAGACAGTTCCCAGGTGGTTTTGGCTTCTGTCTGTGGAGAAACCCACATAGTAATTCCACTTCGTGAGAGAACAGGGGAGGCCCTGGGAGTCCTCGATTTTAACATTGGCCAGATGAGGATGCTACTATATCAAGAATATAAAGATCTGCAGAAAATGGTGAAGGTGGTCCAGGCTGCCTGCTATGAAATACTGGATGAATTATCTGGCGAGATAAAGAAAAAATGTGTCTTAGGTATTGTGGATGTGGATTTATGGGTTTGATAAATTTGGGTAACATCAAGATAGTGAAAGAAGGGCTATGTTTTCTAAAATGGACTATTGCAATATGTGTACCTCTGTATGTGAAAAGAACTCCCTGTGTGGCCTTGAGCTCATAAACATGATCTGCGAATGGAAGCAAAGGGGCTAAGGTCGTATTTTCTTAGTCAGACCTGTAATTTTATACCTGGAAGAACTTATCAAAGCAGGATAGAAGTAGCATACATGTAATGTCCCACCGTGTGTCAGTGAATGGTGGTTTCCTATAATGCAGATGAGGAAAGTGATGTTCAGAGACAGTCAACAAGTGGCCCCCCCAACAGCTGAATTTGAACCCATATTTGGGGGGCTCTTTTTTGCTTTATCACACAGCATTAATTCCTCAGGATTTCTCATCTTGCAGAGAAAGAAACCAGAGCTTTACAAAGTAAAGCGGGTTTCTCCAAAGTCCAACGCAAACTAATGGCAAAGGCTAGCCCCCAGTTCTTATGCCCCTGTATCTCCTAGGCTGCTCTCAGCACAGCTGCAGCTCAAAAAGAGAGAGGGCAGAAGAAGACATAAAAACCTTTGGCCACCAGGAATAGAGAACCATATATATATACATATATATATATATTTTTCTCTCTTGAAAAAATGGTTACTACAATCCACTCTAAATCCTATGGAAAAGTATTGTATGTGATCGCACAGCAACCTGCGATGTCTTTCCATCATTACAGAGATTGAAAACGTAGGGGAAGTTCGGCGGGCAGGGATCCTCTTCTTCCGCACCATGCTGCAGGAGCTGCAGGAGTGCCTCCAGCTGCTCAGCTCCATGAGCTTCGTCTCCCTGCTGCTCTATGACCACAGCACCCAGGTACAGCCGGTGTCTCCCCAAGACAGCAAGGCCCGGGACCTGCGAGCCAACATAAACCTCGTGCAGGACATCCTGAGAGGCATCATCTTGTTCCTTCACCCAGAGTTGGAATTTTCCAGCGACCTTCAAAACTGGGATAAGTGTAAATTTGTAAGTTTTCTAAAGTACTCTTTTAAACATCCTTAATTTTTCTTTGCAGACACAGAATGTGACAAAGCCGAAATCTTCCATCCTTGGTTTCACCTAACCATAGCAGGCAGGCCTCAGAGCCAGGCTGGGGCAAGGAGCTGAGTGCTCAACCCAGACCTTCCACCTGGGGGCGGGGCAAACCCAACAACTTGACCCGAGGCCTGCTGCCTCCCGGAAGCTGCAACCGGAAGCAGAGACAGAACCCTGACGCGCTGAGACATCAATGTCCCCAGGGGTGTCTTAGCCACTGTGCCAAACCTCTAAACAAATCATAGGAGTATACATGCAAGCATTTTCACACAATAAACACATCCATATAACCAGTCCCTAGGCCAGAAAACGAAACAGCTTATCCAAGGCCCACCTTTGTGCTGTGTCCCATGACCACCCACATACTCCAAAAGTAACCATTTTCTAGTTTTCTAACACCATAGATTGGTTTTGCCTGCTCTGAAATTTATAGAAACATTATTTATACTATATCCACTTGCTAATGATCCCACAACTTTTCTTCTTTGTTCGCAGTATGTTAACAAATACCTAGTCAAGAACATCTGTGCCTTTGATCCAACTGCTAGCGATTTGGAAATTAATTCAGAATTCATTGCTGACTATTTCAAAGGTAAGTTTCCACTTAATTATAGTCTAAATCTGTACCAATAGCAATTAAACCATAGTTGTGATTTTTAGGATTACAACATATGGCTTTTAAATTCCATTTTTAGGAGAAAACAGTTATGGCTAAATATCTTCTGAAGGAGGACATACAGTGTATAATGTAAGCATCCCCTGAAGACACTGTCTATGCTGTACGTTAGAGAATTCAGAGTGTCCTCTCTCTCCCATTTTAGGGCTACGGGTGTATTAATCATTAAAAAATATGAGGGGCTGTTGTGATTGGGCCGCAACCTGCAGCTCAGGCATCTCCTATGGATGCCTGTTTGAGTCCCGGCTGCTCCACTTCTGACCCAGCTCCCTGCGAATGCACCGGGAAAGCAGCAGAGGAGTGCCCAAGCGCCTGGGTCCCTGCACCCGTGTGGGGGATGCAGGACGCTTTAAGATCTTGGCTTCCTCTTGGCCCATCCCTGGCTGTGGCGGTCATTTGCAGAGTGAACTGTGGGATGCAAGATTTCTCTCTCTCAGTCTCTCCCTCTCCTTCTCTCTATAACTCTGCCTTTCAAATAAATAAAATAAATCATTTTTTAAGAGACAGGGAAAAGAAAAAAAAAAAAACAAAAAAGAAGAAGAAAAGGTGTGAGGCTGGTATTGTCATAGTAAGTTAAGCCACTGTCCACAATGCTGGTCCCCATATGAGCACCAGTTCAAGTCCTGGCTGCTCCACTTCCAATCTAGATCCCTTTTGATGCACCTATGAAAGCAGCAGAGGGAACCCCAAGCACTTGGGCCCCTGCCATTCCCTTTGGAGACTGGGGTGAAGTTCCAGGGCCCTGGCTGCAGAGTCTATTTGCAGGGTGAACCAGCAGATGAAAGGTCAATTTCTCTCTCTCTCTCTCTCTCTCTGTCTCTCTCATTCTAACTGTGCCTCTCTAACTGTGCCTTTCAAATAAAGAAATCTTTAAATATAAAGGAAAAATAAAATAAATGAGTAGCCTTGCAGTGAGAACAGGCCCGTTAAGCAAAGACCTAATATCTGCAGCTTCAATAAAGAACTGAACAGAACAGATCCATGGTCTGAAGCCTGGCGAGGCAGGCTGCGGGAGAACCAGTGGGAATGGAGAGCTGCAAAGCTCCGGGGTCAAGACAATGTAAGGAACCCCTCAGCCTAGTGAGCAGACACATGTAGGAGGGACTCCACACACACACACCTCATCAGGGCCGCTCCCAGTCCAGCAAGAAGGCATGGGAGCTGGCTGCTCCTGTAATCTTTAAGAAACACTCACACCAAATTCAGAAAATCTTACCCCTCTCACTCTCTGTGTAGACTCCAGATAGACCTAGTCAGAAGAGTTTTCAGATTTCTGTGACAAAACCCCAGGCCCAGAATCTCAGAACAAGAGAGTCTTCTAAGACAAGAGAAAGGAAAGAAGCTCTGGTATGGTGGTTCATCGGGCTAATCCTCTGCCTGTGATGCTGACATCCCATTTGGGCACTGGTTCTAGGCTCCCTTCCTTGACTTTTGGTGCAGCTGCCTGCTGATGGCCTGGAAAAAGCAGCAGATGATGGTCCAGTCCTTGGGTCCCTGCACCCACATGGCAGACCCAGAAGAAGCTTCTGGCTCCCATCTTTGGTCTGGCCCGGCTCTGGCGCCTGTTGCAGCCATTTGGGGCGTTAACTAGAGCTATATTCCCTCCTTGGGGGAGGACTCAGGCACCCACCATGTCTAATCCAGTTCCCTTGCCAGACAGGGGCTTGGAGGCCAGGCAGGGCAGCAGGCCCTGCATGCTCCACTTCACAGGTGTGCACAGGAATCCACTTTTGGTTCCTCACAGTCCCATTCCCAATCACACAAGAAGACACAGGCATGTCTGGGGACATCGTGCCAATGCCACAGTGGAGTCTCTGGAATCCACTCCCGGTTTGCCTGTAAGAACGACCTCCTGTTGCCTAGCACCGCGCTTTTGTTTCAGAACACCGTGAATTTCTCTGCTTGCTCCTGTACTGAAGCGTGGAGCTGAGCCCTGCGCTGCTTGACAGCCGTGTTCCCCACGACTTTTGCTTGCCAACAGTGCCCTCCGGTGGCAGAAATTCTAACTGCAGTCCATGCAGCAAGATTTCATCCCAACACGCCCGGGAGCCTTTAGGGTGTTAACTAACCCTGCCTCCTTCAGATGCAAGTACATTAGAGAATTCTAAGCTCCCTGTTTGAGGTGACGGAGGGTAAATCTGATGGTTACCTTTCCGTTTGTTCCAGGAAAGGGATGGAATCTTCTGGCAGCGCAATGTGTCTTTAACTAAGATCCCTTTTTTGAAACCCCACCTAGTAGAAAATACCACCAGTAGTAGCCATAGGTTCCACTTAGCACAGGAAGGGATTTTAGATCATAGCTTTCCAGGCTACTGATTACATCAAGAGAGTAGAATTAGGACTACTGAAGCACTCACAGTGTGCTGCCACACACTCGCACCCCACTTTGTTCTAGTTCCAGCCAAAGGGTATCTGGTGGAACCCCAGGCAGCTGTGCCCTGCCCGTAGACAGAGGAATTCACTCTCCTTCGCGGGAGCTTTGGGCCACTTTGACCAGCTGGCCAGGCCTCCCGTGGCTGCGCCACTGCGTATGAAGGCTGCAGACACACAGGCCTGTGTATCCAGTGACCGTTCCCAGAGAGCTATGGCAATAGAGCATCAAGAGCTCCCCACCCCGCCGCCTGCCATCCTGCCTACAGAAGTTCCCTTCTCCTGCCTGGAGACTCGGGACCAGCCTGTCTTTGCAACGATATGTTCTCCTCAGTCTACTCCCCCAGTCTTTCTACCAGAGGTGGCAGGGGCAGACCTATTCCAGGTCCCCATCCCAAGATGTCTGGTTAGATATTATATTCCAAAAAATAATCACAGATCTGGAAGGGGAAAAAAATCTGTTCCCTGGTGTATTATCAGAATGACTTCAACGCCTAAACCGTGTGGCTGTGCCAACTGACCCAATACCTTCTTCCCGAGTCCAAGTCCAAGGGTCTACAAGTCCACAGCCACTCCTCTTGGCTTCTCTCGAGGCATTCCTGGGGCTCTTCCCCTGCCCTTAGAGGCTGACAGGAGCTTCAGCTCCACCACCCAGCAGCTTCCTCTGCACAAAGCCATGGACCATGCAGTGCAGGGAAAGCCCCTGCCACCAGGGGGAAGGGAGTCCTTTCCTGGGAGGTCTTGCCCTGCTGATTTCTGTCACCATGGTCTTCCTCCACTGTACAAGTGAGACACTATCATGGCCAACGACCTAAGGGGAACCTCCTGCCAACCCTTCAGAAATAGCAAATAGGTTTATAGCGCTCAACTGAATCTGTAGCGCTCGCAGCCTGATTTTTTTGAGATGAGTCCAAGCGAGATGGACCAAGCGTCACCAGACAGTGTTATGTCACTCTGCCCTGTTAGTAGGAATCTGCTGTCTGCTAACTCTGGCGTGGATTCTGTGACGGTTCCCCACCACCTTTGTGGACCCAGTCGTCTTGGACGGTCGCCCCCGAGGGGAGTTCTTGGCTCCGACTTGCCAGGCCAGGGTTTCACAGAGTCCGGGGCGCCATCTCCGAGTGGCTCATGGATTTCAGACAGCGGAGGAGGAAACATCAGTTAAGCCTTAGAACAGATTCTCTTTGTCCTGGCCAGAACCTCTTAAAGGGCTCTTTCAGTTAAGATAGGAGACAGATGCTCTGTTCAGGGAGGAGAGAACAGACTGTTTTAGGGACTCGGTGGGGGGACCCAGGGCCCTGAGGTCTGGCCCGTTTGCCATGCATGCATATCTCTTCTATGTTCAGGTCTAAGTTATTCAGAAGAGAAAAGAAAGAAATCAAACCAGCAATTTTCTTTCGTGTCTTTCACCTACGCTTTTGATTTTAAATTTTGAAGTTTTCTGATGGCGGTTACTGAATTAACAGAAACGACAAAAAATGCTTTTACTCACATAGGAACATCATTGTCACTTGGATACCTGACTAAAGATTTTTAAAGATCAGTTTAGTAAGAACGTTTTTCTATTTAACTTGATATGAAATTTTTTCCTTTTAGTGGATGTTATTAAAAAGCTTTTTATATTTAAAACCCTTTTTATATTATAATTTTAAAGTAATTAGAAGGTCAGGTAGAACTAAAAACAGTCACTTGTTCTGTGCCTTGTCTTACTACTCATTGTCTCCGGCTCCAATCGGGCAGGTCATTCTTTTTAACTCTTTCTGTTTCCTCTGGTATCTGCATTATGTCTATTTCTAATATTCTGCACATGTTGCTATCTTTCACTTCATCAAATTTAAACTTTACCCATTGATTTCCTCTTGTTACAGCTGAAGATTTAGTTTAGTTCTGTTACACCCCCCCATCCTCCCAATGTTGTTATATTATAATTTGGGGCTTAAGAAAAGGCAATGTTTGTACAGTTTTTCCTATGCAAACACTATACACAGCTGGGTATTATGGCATTTTGAAGTTTTTGTTTGTTTGTATTTATTTGAAAATCAGACACTCAGGGAAACCAGCTCCCATCTGCTTGTTCGCTCCCCTGTTGCCCACGGTAACTGGGCCTGAGGCAGGCCAGAGCTGGGGACTGGAAATTCAATTCTGATCTTCCAAGTGCGTGGCTGGACCCCGATTTCTTTCTTTTTTAATTATTTTATTTTTTATGTTGTTTACATATTTGACAAGGATGTACACTCGTGTGAATCACTGATTAGTGTGGGGAGAGCCAGGGCTAGTGGGGTTGTCAGGCTGAGCTAGGCTACAGCACCCGTGGGTGTGTATCAGAGCTGAATGGGATGCAGGACGTACTGGCTCAGTCTCTTGCACGTACTGCATGTGCAGGAAATGGGCCAGGGGGCTGGCCTAGCAGGGGTTATTGGTGATCACCCTGACTAAACTGTAGTTCCCACTGGTGTGCTGCTGTGTTGTCCAGCCAGGCCCGACCTCAGCCGTGGTTCTCATGCTCACCGGTGGGAGCTGCAGCCCAGCAGACGTGTGCACACAGC